GAAAAATAACTTTGGCATAGCAGAAATATTTTTCTTGTTGAAATAAACTACCTTAGTTTTAGATGGATTGAATTTGAGTAGCCACTTATTTGACCAAATTTCCAATATGTGTAAATCATGATTCAATTTGTATTCTATATCTAATATATTGTATGATGATTGTTGGAGGGAATTACCATCTGCAAACAGTCTACACATTGAAATCATATTTTCAGCAACATCATTTATATAAATAAGAAATAACAGTGGACCTAAAACAGAACCCTGAGGTACACCTGCAAAAATATCTTGCTTTGATGATAACAAATCTTTGTACATAACTTTTTGAGACCTTTGACTTAGATAACTGGAAAACCATTGGAGAATATCACCAGATATACCATAAGTTTGCAATTTAAATAAAAGCCCTTTGTGCCAAACTTTATCAAAAGCCTTTAAAAGATCACAAAAAACCATACAACATGATTTGCCATCATCTATGTTTTGAACAATATAATGGGACGTTTCTAGTAATTGATATACAGTTGAATGACTAGGTAGAAATCCTAATTGGTATCGATAAAATAAATATTTGATATGAAGAAAATTGTACACGTGTTTAAAAATAATTCTCTCCATAATTTTGCTTACACAAGATAGTAACGATACAGGTCTGTAGTTGGACACCACAGAGGGGTCATCCTTTTTGAAAAGAGGAATCACATGGGCTAATTTCCAAAAAGATGGGAAAACTTTTTCTGATAACGACCTATTAAATAACATTGTTAGTGGTTTAACAACAGTAGAAATAGTCGATTTTAACATTTTATGGCTAATACAATCTGGGCCAATAGCTTTATTCACGGGAAGTATTGAAATTATGTCTAATACTTCTTGTTCGTCAATTTTTATGTTGCATAGTGTGTCATTACAAGTATAATACATTTGTGGTGATATTTCATTAGAATCATCAATAGATGAAATCGAAGAAAAAAACGAATTCAATGCTTCAATCTTGTCTTGGTCAGAATAGGCTACTTGTCTTAAACCGTAAATCTTTGTCTTCCTATGTAGGAAGAGGCCCAGTGGGCCAAAAACTTGAGTCACCTTCATCCCGCTTTCATTAGATAAATTCATAAAACTAGAAAAATGTCCATACCATATAAATGATCAGTCCAGGGTTCACTAGTAATGCAGCATGAAATACAATAAAAATATATGCATGGACCTTGATTAGGTTTTTGAACCGAGTTTAAGGAAGCTCTAAACACTACCAAAAAAGTTTTTTTCTAACTTGAATCATATCGAGGGTTGCATATTGAAACTTTTTAGTTCACATAGACGTTAACATGCAACATACATGTATTTATGCCAACATGCAACTTACTTTTCTTAACATGCAATATTATTCTGTTAGTATGCGAGTGTGTCAACATTGAAGATACAGGGTGTCCCAGAATATATGATACCATTTCATGATTATATAATTTAATTCTGATTGTAACGCTGTATTTGATTGGATAAAAAATTTACTTCATATCGTATAAAATGGGTTGCCTACGTCACAATGACTTACGTAAAAAACGTATCAATCCGCCTGACGTTACATTCAAATTTGGTACAAGTTGAAGTCATTTTATTAGAACAATCACCTTTTTTTCTTGCATCAAATGAATGAAAATTAAATTATAAGCAATGAATTTAATAGCTACCCATTTTATACGGAATAAACTGGGTTGGAACAGTTAACGCTTTTTTTATAAACCGCTTCGCGGTTTATAAAGCGTAAACTGCCCCAACCCAGTTTATACCGTATAAAATGGGTAGCTATTAAATTCATTCCTTAAATAAAATATAATGTAATGAATATTAATTAAAACAAATGCACTATAATCATTGCATTTACTGTCCAATTTTATTCACACAATTTGAGGGACATTAAAAAGAACATGACAAAATGAGATCACTTTGAAAAATGATGATGGTTTTTAAATTATGTCCCCTAAATGATGTCCAATCTGGGTACATGTAATGATCATGTCTAGTTATTACACAAAATTCCATAACTGAAGACAATGATGGGATTTTCTTTAGTAATAATTTAGTAATAAACTAGATTTTCATTGGAAATGTACCCTTTTGGATAAATTTAAGATTTAGACTAAGGTTTTGTAACAATATTTTAAGACTGGAATTGATAATTACAGTTTTGAAATGAGGGTACCCAGCTTGTTTGATAAATCCACTTTGATTAAAATGCAATTTTTAGGATTTTTTTTTTTGCGTAATTATATTGCTTCATTATTCCAACATTGTGAGAATTTTTAACTGAAATTATTAGTTGCTAAAAATGGGTACCTGACGTTTCTATTTCGTTTCGCACTTTACAGGTACTACCTGTAAAGTGCGAAACGAAATAGAAACGAAACAAAACGAAACGAAACGAAACCTATCGAAACGAAACGAAACAAAGACGAAACGAAACGAAATCAAAACGAAACCTGCCGAAACGAAACAAAACTATCAAAATGTTTTTTTCTCCCCCAAATCAAGGTTCATGTATATATGTGTAACTGCATGTGGACTTTTTTGTACTTCAAATAAAATTTATATAGTTCAAGCACTTGTTAATATAAAATTTAATTACCGATAAATTATGTTCCCTTTTCAGTCTAATGATGTATTTACATGTTTGCTAGTTGCAAATATACACGAGCGTACTATGCATGTATAATTTCAATATGTGCAATATTTTCTTATTTTCATATCTTACTCTTATTTTCAGTCCTTCAATTTCCTTCGGTCGCCTATGTATGAGCTTGAAGCGAAACAATTACCTGTGGTGCTTGAACTATATAAATTTCATATGAAGTAAAAACAGACCATATGCAGTTACACATTATATATACAATGTAACTATATGTAAATGTATATAGCTTGATTTAAAAAAACATTCTGAAAGTTTTGTTTCGTTTCGTTTCGGCAGGTTTCGTTTTGATTTCGTTTCGTTTCGTCTTGATTTCGTTTCGTTTCGGTAGGTTTCGTTTCGTTTCGGCAGATTTCGTTTCGTTTCAGTTCGTTTCGTTTCGTTTCGTTTCTATTTCGTTTCGCAGTTTACAGGTACCCGCTAAAAACTGTACTTACTCAAATATTTAATGAGGCAAATTTCAAAGAAAATTGGTCAAGACATGCGTTTCTGACAATAATTTAAAATAATATTATATATTATGGGACACCCTGTACATGTACATTTTATTATGTTAGCACGTAGGTTGATAATGTCAGCATATAGAACATGTTGACAGTCAACTCATTATCTTGGATGTTGACAAAAATAAGTCTCATACTGACATAACTGAGCTGAATTTTAACATAATTAACTTGCATGTTGACATAAATACATGTAACTTGCATGCTTATAAGTTTCATGTCAATATAATTATGTGTATCTTAAAGCTTGCATTTATGATGTCAGAAACTGGTGTTTATGATGGCATATTTCTGTCCCCTACATGCAACATAAAGTTTGTCAGCATGCAATAATTTATGTCATGTACAAGTATAATTTAAAATGGAATTAAAAAGAGGTCAAAGGACACCGTGGGCCGGTGGTCCATTTGCAAGCACTAGCAAATTTTCACGAGAAACCGCTGTAGACCGATGAAGCCCAGGGCAACAGACCTCGAAGTAAAAAATGCACACTGAAAGTATTTAAACACATAGATCATAAAACCTTTTGTTCTATAAAGATTGGAAATGCAAATCGTCCAAAAAAGAAAAAAAGAGAGGAATTTCTCTTTCCAAGGAAAATTTCGATGAATAATTTAATGTGACTTTATTATTTATTTAGTATATGAAGAAAGAATTCGAGAAACTATTTGTTGATCATTATTAATTAACAAAAAAAATTGTTTGGAACTATAAAAACTGAAAATGGTGTATGAGTATTGGGTCTTGTTTAAATGTACGCGTTCAAGTTTAAATTAAAATTTTCAAATCTGTGTTTACAAAGTGCAAGGCTGTCTTTGTAACCACGAATTCCAAGAATTTAATCTAAACTTGTTTTGCTCAAGAGGTATTTTGTCTTAGGTGTAATCCCTTCCCCGTCACGCATTTTAACGCAAATACCATTTCTTATTTTAACAAAATCAATATACCGTTTATCCGCAATCACGCATATTCACGCACTTTAAAAATATCATTTACATAAATATTTAAATTCGTATCTATTTAATACAATTATTTTAAATCTAATAAAAGAAGAAAAGTTATTTCATTATTATAATATCACTTCATAATATTATTTGAAATTTCATGAGAAACATTTACACCGCAATGAACCCTGCTTGCGGAGAAATGGTAACGTCATACCGGTATTTCTTGAACAAAGTTGATCTCAATTATGATACATGTAAATCTTTCCTTTCTTTTCTGGAAAATTTATTTTCATCAAAACATTCTCTATAAACCATGTACCCAGAACATGAGGTGCATAATCAATTTCTTATTTGATTTTTTTCTCAAGAAAAGTAAACCAATGATTTTGAATTATATATTTTTCGGGATTATTGATATGCTTGGACCTCAATTATTAGCAAATTCTGAAGGTCAAACTATAAATGTATAAATCAGAATCATTGGTTTGCTTATATGTTTGCAAAATTTACACCTGGTGATAAATCAGTGCATGAGAACGGCGCTTTTGAAAAAAAATAAAGGGATCACAGACACTTTCTACGTTCCCGCTGTGAACTTAAAATTAGGCCGGTTAATAAATAAAACATCGATCGCTCGACCGCAATTTTTAACTCAATAGTCAATTGCAAAATTTCCTCCTTTCTGTTTTTACAGCTCGCAAATGTCCTGCACATTGTCAACGATCAGCCGACAAATCTGTCAATAATTTCTACTTAACTTTATAAAAATATTTATCCCGTTGCTAGCACGCGCTTTTTAAAACGACTGGTTTATCCCGGAACTTTAACTAAGAGAAGATAACTCTAAATCACCTGCCGATTTTTTTCCCACCTTGACGGACGGCGTTTGATAAATGTGCAGTCGGATTATCCAACTCAGCCGTTAGGATTAAGTTTAAATCTCTGTCCACTTTATGCGGGTCTAATTGACTTGGATTAATGAGTTTTTAGGTAGGTCGAATTAAAATTAAATCTTCTTTTGTCTTAAGTTGAGAAATTAATTTTACTGTGAATTTTCTGACATGCACTAATGGTGTACAGTAAAGCACTTTCATTCAATATAGAAGTGAAGTCTATATCTATATCGTTTAAAGTGCCATGAACTTTTCAATGTTGATTCTGATAAAACGGGATACTTACGTAAATTGAGCAATTGACATTGCATTGGATAATAAATACTTTTAGTTTGAAGTTTAAGCTCCCAGGAATTTTCTTGCACCCTTTCCTGATATTGACCTCTTCATTTCAAAACACGACCTTGTTATTTCATAAATGACATGATTACTAGTATAGAAAAAAATCATGTATATGTGTACCCGTACTTATAAAACATAAAAAATAATCAATATATAGCAGGGGTTACTGATCTAAAGATTTGTTTAACTTCTTAAATGGCGTGATGTTTATCCGAATGTTAGATAACTTCATCAGGTCGACGGAAAACAAGACCTTTAAATCCAATCAGAGATTGTATCTTTGAATTTTTTGCGTCGTATATTAGGATGTTTTTAAAGTATGACACACAACCTTTATCAATTCCACTAGGAACATCCAATGAGAATCAAAATTGGTATATTTAAGAGTATATATGTGACGTATTATATATTGACAATATGTCTTAAAGCTTAGAGTAATTTGTAGACCGGGGGGGGGGGCAGCCGGTTTATACAAATTTACTTTTTAAGAATTCTTAGAATTTATGCCATGACTATGTTCTCTCTTTTTTTCAAACTTGAGAATTCTTTGAAAATCATTTCAAAATGCCAAAATTTTAATCGCTATTTAAGTAAACCTTGAATGTCTTTTCAATATAAATGTATTAATGATTAAAGACCGTGTTTTTGCTATAGAATTCTCTCATAATATTTTTTATTATGTTTAAAAGGACACATGAATGATCACAAAGCATTTGGACCACTTTCAATTGTAAGGAATCGCTGGGTTGTGTATTTTGACCCCCATGACCCAGTTATGTTATGATGTTATGTGTATCGATTAAAGATCACCAATAAAACACGCAGTGTCTGAATTTGTTTGATTTTGCTGGGTAGAATTTTTATAGAAACCTCTTTCTTTAAGGCCATTGAATAATAATACGAGGGATTTAATGACATGCCTATACAAACGTGTTGATGGAAGCGCCGAGAAATTCAAAGTTTGGTGTGTTTCATCTGAAGAAGTCCTTTTGAAAAATAATATTATAGTAATAATTCAAATGATTCATTTTAAAACACCTTAATTTTGATAAATGTAGAAAAAGAGAACCTGCATTATTTTAGATATATAAAGAAACAGTTTTGCCAAGTCGACTTTAATTCCATGTAATCGTATCTTTCCTATATTGGGTCTATAAACAAATCAAATTCGAGCTAGATTTATAATATGCCAAATATAATTTAAACATTTTTTAGTATTAATGAGTAAGTTTAGAATAAACAGTTTTATATTTAAATATTTTAGTTCCTATTTATTAATGTAGAGAAGGAGGAAATGTATTAAAAATAATCAGTTTATTATCATTTTTTTTTAAATATATTTTTTTTAATTTTGTGAAACTTTTTATTTTCATTTTATAGTGTAAGAAGCTTCAATTTTATAAGTTTACGGTGAAAATTGAAGGCAAGTCATCTAATGAAATTCTTTCTGCATCTTACGAATATTTAGATCTAGATACAAATTAACCACTACAAATGAGTGTTCTTTATCTCAGGTTTCACGTAGGAATAGTTTACGTTTGACAATACTGATCTTGCTATTTACTTTTACATCTGTGCAGTCTACTCTCTCTCTCTCTCTCTCTCCCAGAAAAACACAAGTGTGTAAGTATCTTGTATCCAAATAGGTTAAAAGGAGAGATCAAATAGCTTTGTCTGTTTTGGTGATCAGCAATACACACAGAGACGAAAAACGATTTTCTATATGTTAAAAAGTAAAAGATCTTTACCGATACACACTCTCTACATGTGTTTAAAAACTAGCACGGTTCAAAACGCATTAAGCGATTATCTAAGTCTAGCATTGTCTGAAAACGGCCATAGGAGTACGTAATTGGGTGTATTTATTTCTAACAATAGTCGGAAACAGATTTCGATTCTCGAGTGTAAATAATGTATTGGTGAAAATTTGGAATAATACATTTCTAGTGAAATTGAGAATCAATTAAACACATAAACAAAATGCCAATCAAAGAGGTAAGATCTTTTTGTTTTCTTTTGAAAGTATCTGATTTATAATTAGTTTTTGAGTTTCAATTTACGAATCGATTTCAGGTGTATTTCACAATCAATGAAACCATTGATCTTTCCTCTCGCATGGCGGGTTTTACTTATTAACATGTATAATAATCACCTTTGAGTTCAGAATTTCATTCGTAGTCTGATTAATTAAAAAAAAAAATCTTAGATTTTGGATTTTGATAGATATTCATGTTTACGAAAAGCAAGAATAATTTTAAGACGACTGAAACACTATACATGTATTCATGATCAGTCTGTTTGGTCATGTTGGTATCTTTTCAACTCAACCAACTTACAGTCAGGCCCTGTATAACTGTAACATTTAATGTAATCGTCATAAGGCTTAAAATATGAAAAAATATAAATTATCAAATATCTGTTTACAATTATAGTAGGAATTGTAGTTGGTAATAGCTACATGTACATGTATGGGGATCAAGAATTTGGGTGGGCGGTGGGGTTGAAGAGACAATCGCGATGCATATGCTCAGAATGAAAGACGTGCTGATTAACAACTGCTTATATAGTGCTAGCTTTTTTTCATAAAATCAATTTTCCCCAAGGAAAGGCCTTGTCAAAACGAATATAATTTTACCTGTGAAAATGTTACAACTCTAGCACCAAACGTTCAAGATGAAGGACAAGAGATCAAATATATGTATGATGATACAGTGTACATACCACCGAAAAGATTTGTCTCATTTTAATATATCTGTAAAATATTGAAGCCCATATAGCTCCATCCATTTAAAAGTTATGCGCAAGGTTTAAGTGTTTGCATTGAGTATACAAGTAAACAGACAGACAGACGAGCGTACACGAAGAAAATTTATTATCTTCGATAACGGCGGGGGCATAAAAATATACATTATTTTTTTTCATTTTCCTGTTGTTAATATACAGCTAATGGAATTATAAATACTAGCACATTTAGATCATAATGTTTGTTTACCCTCGCCCTAATCAGGGTAAAATTATTTGGTCCGTGAGTAGGTGGAATAATCAGAAAATTTCACTATACCTGTTTACAAGAGAAGAGGAATAGAAAGAGAGAAAAAAAAACTATCATGTACTAAATATAAAATTTTTGAGTCGGTCCATTTTTAGTCGATCGGTTGGTAGGGGGCAATTAAACAACTTTCTAAATATGACCTCAAGTTTAAAAGTATTTACCCTTTAAAGTATTAATGCTAAAGTTTATGAAATGACAAAGTTTCCTTATCTTTTGCAGACTTGGACCAGCATTATGCCGACGGCATTCAAAAAACAGAAATACTCCTCTATACGGAGTGAGTGTCTAAGTAAAGGAATCTTATTTGAGGATCCCGAATTTCCGGCAAATAACAAATCCATATTTTACTCAAAAATAGACCAAGAAATAGAATGGAAACGACCAAAGGTAAAACTTAGTTTACGTATTGATAATTCATTTATATTGTTTCCCCAAAGTGATTCAAATGCATCGTTCATCCATGTAATTAAGAAAAAGGACAAATCTCTCTTATTTAAATCCATGGACAAAGAATAAAAGCACATACAGTGGAGTCTTATTTATCCCATTTATCTGGACACTTTGGTTCCCAGTCAATTTGTCCGGATATGTGAAGCGTCCTGATATCTGAATTGCCATTTAAACAAGACAAAATAACGTTAAAAATTCCGTTCCGATGAAAAATCGTCCGGATACTGAAGCATCCGGATTTCTGAAGGTCCAATGTACATGTTCATATATATAGAAACTAAAATTGATGTATACGCAAAAGTCTTCAAGAAATTCTTTTGACGAGAATTCGTTTACTTTAACATTTTAGAATTGTTTCCAAAAAAAAGCTACTCTCTCTATTCTCCTCTTGAAACATTTTTTAAAAAAAATGGATGCATGTCACAAGCTAAAAACTGCATTGGAAAAATGCAATTATTTACAGAACTCTCTAAACATAGTTTTTTTTTTAATCAATAAAAGACGTCGTCGGAAACTCCAATTGAATTAAGGTTAGTTTTAATCTTACATAGCGCCAAAATACATTATTTTTCAGCAAATGGTGACCGACTTTTTCTCTTTACAAAAGAGAAAGGAAGTTAAAAATGTAAACTTGTTTCTCGTTGCTTGTTATCACCATTCTTGTCTCGATTTATTTACCTATGGTGCATACCATACCGATATTCATTGATTTCTTTCCGCATTTTTTATGTTGTACCTATTTACATTCTATATTGATTTTATTTACACACAAAAAATACACGGTCTTATCCAATATTTAAAGAGTACGATTGATATTTTTTGTCACAGAACTGTGAAGAGTTTGAGATTAAAAGCCAAGCAACGATGTTCAATACTTCATATCTTTGATACACTTGATTAACATAAAGCAACCCTGAAAACTTGACAACTATTGGTTTTAACGTTTACCTGAGAACAATACATTGCAAAGGATCCATAGAAGTGAAAATCAGAAAACTGATTCTATAAGAGATAGAAAAAAATATATTCTAATAGTAGTTTTCATTAAAAAATGAAGCATATCTGCCCTGTGCTTGCCCCCCCCCTCCCCGTTCGCCTCGGTTTGGGTATTTTGGTGCAAGGTATTAAAATATAAAAAAAAGTTGGGGTTGGGATGATTTTTATCGACTATCAAAATCTTAGGTGAAAGGTTCTAGTGGGTGGTGCATGTAACATGCATGCATGGTTTTTCTGTGGCTGATGAATAGTAATGTGAAAATCCTCGGTGTACTTTTCATTCCCAAGTTCCCATCCATTATTCAAAATGCATCTCATACCCACCTAGGATTACATTTTCAAAGTGATGCTACCTGGACTTCGCATATACAATTAATTCATGAAAAAGCTACAAAACGACTAAATATCCTCAGAATGCTTAAGTATAAGATGAAAAGAAAAACACTTATTAAGATATATTTTGCATTTATTAGACCTGTTTTAGAATATTCAGATGTTGTTTGGGACAATTGTTCTGAAAAAGATGCAAAACTTTTAGAAGATATCCAAGTTGAAGCTGGTAGAATTATTACTGGATTAAGATCAAATTCCTCTAGATCAAAATTGTATGATGAATTAGGGTGGGATCTTTTACAAACTAGGAGGAATATTCATAAATTGCTACTATTATATAAAATCATAAATGGCTATTCACCTAAATATTTAACGGACTTGATTGAACCTTTTCGTCCTACAAACCACCCCTATAATCTAAGAAATAATGATGCAGAATTCAAAATTCCTTCTATTAGAACTACATCATATATGGAAAGTTTCTTCCCATCAACTATTAAATTATGGAATGATTTGCCTGATTATATCAGAAATGCCCCTGGAATATCTTCATTTAAAAGTCTTTTAAATTCTTATTATTGTAAAAAAGGTAAAGAAATTTATCATTTTGGAATAAGAAAGTACAATATAATACATTGCCAATTGCGAAATAATGCAAGTAATTTAAAGGCAGACTTATATAACCAATTTTTATCAGAAACACCAATGTGTGAATACTGTATTGACTCTGTTGAAGATGCTCATCATTATTTTTTTGCTTGTCCAAAATATAACTCTCCAAGAAATGTACTTTTCCAAACAATTCAAAATATTATTGATTGTGATCAAACTCATGAACTTGATTTACTTTTGTATGGTAGTCCCAATCATGGACTAAATATTAATACTCAAATATTTGAAGCAGTACATGCTTTCATCGCAGCAACCAAACGTTTTATTTGAATTGTAATATATGTTACTCATGCCAACACTTTATAACCGGTACATGTATTTCATTGTAAATTTTTTTTTCTCTCTCTCTTTCTACTTTTTTTTTCTCTTTTGTTTTTGCTACTATGTGTGTCTATTTATTTTTATATTTATATATTGTGTGTTCATTTTGACCTTGTAGGGAGAGGGCTAAAATAGGCTTTGCCTGCTGCCCAATCCCATTCACTTATGTGAATAAAATTTTGTATAAAAAAAAAAAAAAAAAAATTCCCAAGTGGATCTTAAGTAAGAGTTTTAATTTGCTTATGTATTATCACTGAAAATTTTGACACCCCTCCGCACCCCGTTGATCCACCTAAGCACTGTAAATCTTACCGTGTTATCCTCAACTTTCACTTAATTCATTACACAAAGATCCCTTTAATGAAAATTCAGTGTAATTGAGCAAAAATCTATAAAGCCATCCACTAGATGTCAATGACAAGTGGACGAGCGTGTAAAATAAACCCCTCGTGGTTAAATACTTCTCCGGAGACCCATATAAATAACAGAACGACAGGTAAACAGATGAAGTTGAATGGAGGTCAATATGTGAAGTGCATGATAGCTTGCAATATGAGAAAGTCGTAATATGTGACCCTATAAGGAATTTGTAAATAATTCAAATGTACATGGGGTGCCTTGTATATCATTTTACGTTTATTCATTACTCATTTCTTTGATTTAAAGATTTTAACAAGTCCAATTTTATTAAACTCAATAATTATTTTAGTTTTTTTTTCAGATTTAGAATTTGGTCATTTTAGGTATATTCATATTATTTAATTCCCTAAATGGCAAAATTCTCAATCTCTAATTTAAAAACTACACAGAGTAACAAATTGATGCAATCGGCAGGGAAACCACATACACGTGCTTGGAGAAAACATATAGACTCATAATATTTTGTTTAACTACGTGTGCGTTGGAGGGGGGGGTTAGGGTTGAAGGACAGGCAGATAAATAATAAACACGCTTCAGGTGTCACTGTTTTTTTACAACTAGATAACTCTAACATTTATTGTTTTTAATGTCCGAAAATATTAGAGAATAAAATATATATGTTGTTCAAACACGATGTTCAGATATAAACAGTACATGCAACAAGCAGTTTCAGTTTTCATTTTTTGCGAGATCTTTCATAATTGTAAGCGTTACTAAGCGTTAGGAGAGATATTTTTCGAGTGTTTTGATCCCAGTACTCTATAAGAAGTGCAAAGGACTTCATCATAAGATAATTTATTGCGAAATGTCGACAAGGTAAATTGGGTGTTGCATTTAAATAGCACTCAGGGTACTTGATGTGTAAATACACTTGTAACACTTGAGAGTTTTGAATAAAAATGCAAATTGTCATGTACAAAATGTGTGGATTTTGGAAATGGAAATACAATGACATTATTTGCAGCTAAATTACAACTGTTAAATGCAAAAGCAAACATAAAGTTTTATTTAAAAATTGAATATAAATCCGGTATTTAGTAAACTCCAGGTAAATTTAAAATACCATGTAAGCATGTTATTTCTGTTAAACCATATTTTGTGTATGTAAATACTAGACAAGTAAAAGCATAAAGGTAGAAGTCAGTCCTAAAATCATTCACAATTCATTGATTTTATAACCTGCCGTATGTTTGAAATCTGTAGGAATTTCTGTCAGGGATTTCTAAAGATTTTTGTTTCTTAACAATGAGAAATCGACCAAGTTGTCTAAAAAGAAAGGAGTCTAATAAATGCTCGTCGCCACAATTTTTGTGGAACTTTTGGTATACTTGTTCGCACATGTCAAATAATTTCTGTGAAAGATATTTTTGAGGAGAGATAAAAAAGCTTTATTCGATCTTGAATGGCTAAAAATGCTTTTATTGAACGTACCAAGGTTTTACTTAAAAATAAATAGGGTGAAATCGTAACAACTTTTATTTATGAGACACCATCCCATTTATTCATGGTCACTTTCAAAGAAAATGGTGTAGTTTAAACCAAGCTTTTAAGTGTTACCCCCCCCCCCCTTTAAATTGATCATCGATCGTTCCAGGAACTCAAGTTCTTTTAAAAAGGCCCGTGGGCTTGAACCCTTCCCATATAACCCCCCGCATTTTTCATTCTTTGGTTTTATAATATTGAATGTTTGATTTTTATTTTTATTTTATCTTTCTTCATATTTCTTTCAATAAATTTTATGCAACTTGTTCGTACGTGTATAATTCATGTAATAAATGTAAAAGATATTTATGAGGCCAAGAAATAGGCTATATTCTTTTACATGATTCAGAATGCTATTATACAAAGAAACCACGTATACTTTTTGAAAAAGAAAACCGTGAATTCATGAAAAAGCTATACAGAAAAACATTACTTGAACCCTTTGAAAGAGAGGAAAGAATGCTATTTTAAGACAGACAAGTGTAATAGATACTTTGTTCTAAATGCATTGAATATAGACATTGTTTAACCATCCCTCTCCTCAATTTATTGCTTTAGGAACTTGTAATGTTTTCCTTTAAAATCGTATGTGCATATGGCTTCCCTATCCCATGCACCTTTTGTTTTATGCTTTCAATCTATGTTGAATTTTCACTTTTATTTTTCCCGTCACATTTTTTTTCCCACTTCCATTCACTCTTAAACATTCCATTTATTATTTTTCATTCCTTGTTCTAGGAGCTGTTAAAGGTCACAAGATTTGTTACACCCCCCCCACCCCCTTAGGTCATTGTTCCAGGAACTCAATTTCTTTTGAAGACTCATGGGCTCTAAGCCTTCCCATCAAACCCATTCATTTTTCAATCGTTTATTCTAACTTTAAATGTTATTTTTATTTATTTTTCTTCGATCAAATTCCCTTCAATTCGCCAATTTTTATTTTTCGTTCCTTTTTCTAGGAGCTGTGTAAGGTCCCGAGACTGGTGGTGGATGGAGTCAGCTGTGACGACCTCAACCAAGGGGAACTCGGAAACACGTGGTTTGTCACTGCGTGCGCAAGTTTGGCGCTAGAGAAGAAGCTGTTTGAAAAGGTGTGGATTGATCATTATTTCTAAAAAGTTTTTTACCTTCATCAGTTCAACATATTACCTATATAAAATGTAAGCTAAAATCAGTTTGAGACCAATATACTATTTCTCTCCCGGCCCTGAGCTAGACTATTTTAATATTGTGTCTAAGAATATAGCCAGAGAAAAGAGAACGCTGCAATTAAAAGCATCTCCACCCTTCTACATGTAAATACCCCCCCCCCCCCTCAAAAAAAAAGGAGATTCGTGCTGATAAATTTTGACTCAATTACTAGGTTATTCCCAGCATAAAAGAACAGGAATGGGACGAAAAATCCGAGAAAAACAAATACAGCGGAGCCTTTCACTTTCACTTTTGGCGGTTTGGAGAATGGGTGGATATTGTTATAGACGATCGTCTGCCAACCAAGAACGGGAAACTGGTCTTCTGTCACTCCAAATCTCGAAACGAGTTTTGGAGCGCTCTTCTGGAGAAAGCCTACGCCAAGTAAGTATGGTGGTCACTGGTCAGGATAGTGACGTAAAGTCCGCTCAAAGTCAATCAATTTTGTAATTTACTTATCTACAGTGTATGTTTATCTTATCAAGTCATGTCAGCTTACTTGTAAAGAGCATCATAGAAAGCCATACAGATTTCATTCTTTTGAAATCGAACGTGAAAAAATACGAAACCATGAATGCATATTTAGTATACAGTCAGTGACATGTACCCGGTACAAATATGAAAGAAAAGGGATGTGTCCAACATTATTCAGATTTGAAATATATATTCGTTTATACATTATAATAACATTACTAAGTTTTAAATGTAAATAGTACTATAGATGATCTTCTTTTCTGTCTACAGGTTATACGGTGACTATGAATCTTTGAACGACGGACGGACGGCGGACGCTCTGGTAGACTTCACAGGGGGCGTGGCGGAGAAACTTGTCCTTACGAGGCTGGATCTGAACGACGATAAGATTGTGGAACAGCTGTTTTATAAACTGAGGGAATCCTGTGAAAACTCCGCCCTTATGAATTGCAACATAGAGGTATGTTTTTGCAGTTGACTGCCTTGAACAATATTATTATTGTTATTTGTGATCTTTTTATCATGAGAGTTGAGAGGGACTGAACATGTTACCCTTTTGTTAACCTTTTCTTCTTTATTTTATTTTCATCACATAGCACTGTCCAATGTCAAAAAAATCAGGATCCACAACTTGTTAATATTTGACAATTCAATCTCTTTCAACAAAGAACTTGACTTATTGTTACAAGGCACTTATTTTGTTAAGAATTTACATGTATGCATCTTTTTTTCACTATTTTTAAATACTGTACCCATGTTTTCTTATTTATTGGAAAAGTTTCATTTTTGAAGGATGGCATGATTGTTACCTAGCTCTTTAAGGGGACTGACCATAGTCATATCATTTCCATCCCAACATGAAAATACTTGTAATTTTGCCTTTGTCCTCTGAAAATGAGGCTGATTGAATCGTTCATATAATTATATAAACATGTACTTGATAACCTAGCTTTTGATCATGTGTTTTTGCTGATTCTGACATTTCACGAAGCTAACTTGTACTTCAATAGACGAATTGTTAAGATATGATTAAGCAAAATCAATTGACGAGATGTTCAGAAGGATCGCAAACCTAAATTATACCAGTAGAATTTTTCGCAAATCTGTATTCATCAAAGTCAAATTGATTCATTTATGTTCTATATACATGTATAAAAATACTTTAGCCTGCTTGAATTGTCAATCTTTTATTCATCAATTTAAAAACGACCTTCTCGTTATTTTGGACTTCAATAATTGGCGCCAATTTTTTAAATTAATTTCAAGGGAAATGTTTATTTTTTTCATTGAACTTTATTTAATCGGAACTTGTAGTTAAGCCTCTTTGAATAAATAAAAAAAAGTTAAACTGTTAAATCTACAAGTTTCCTGGAATTAACCTTTTCTTGGTTTGAAGAAGCGTACGAATTCTTCCTTCAAAAAAATCTTTAAAGTATTTCCACCCTCCTGTGATGTCATTGATTTTCGCAGAATCTGTCAATTTAAATTTATACCCGTAAGAAATACCTGTATATTTTTTAGACAAATACCTTTCAACAGGTTAAATGTTAATTTGTCGTTTTGTAAAAGAACTCAAGACATTAAAAAATAATTTTTCCAAAATATTCATTCATTATTTCAATCTAACCAAAAAAATAAGGACAATAATTCCTTCTCATGTACCTTCATTCAGTTTTTTCTTCATGCTGTATTTTAAATGTATAATGTATGTGTTATTTTTTTACAAAATTACAATTAAAACGTATTTGTAGATGTACAGAAACAGTTCTTTTAGAATTGTCTGCATCAGAATTTTATATTTAAACCAGTTCTAACCTAAATTTAACCTTACTGTTTACCTAAAATATTTTTTTTAATTTTGCCATATTCTGTACTTCTGTTTATTTATTCTTAAATCTCAATAAATATGGCAACTAATACATTTTAAGCAGTAATTTTTTAATTGAAACTATATTCAGTGAAATTAAATGCATTTTTCCCTTTGAACCCATAAAGTTGTGAGGATGGAAATACCTAAGTAAACTAATGACAACTATCATGTCTGCACCAATTTGCGAAATCATTGATCCTTAAATCCAATTTTTTTCTTAACAACAATTTGACTCAAGCAAAACAAAAAAATCTAAAATAATAAGATTGTATAATTTTCAGTGCCAAAAGACGGAAGTGGGTAAAGAACTTCCCAATGGTTTGATTCTTGGTCACGGTTATAACATAACAAAAGTGCTAGACATAAAGGTGGAAAAGAAGCTACAAGGGGCCGTGGGTAGCGCCAAACTGATGATGGTCCGCCTTGCAAACCCGTGGGGGGTGAAGGAATGGAACGGTCCCTGGTCGGACGAGTGAGTACTATTTTATCGATTTTTTGTTTTATTGTTGTTTTTTGTTTTGTTTGAGAATTTTATACTCATATTAAAGACGTCTCCATGTACTGTACGAAGGTGGGCGGTCGCTTTGAAATACCGAATGAGCTTTAGTTGTGTTGCATTTCATGGAAGAAATTGTAATGGCAACATTTTGAATTTTTTTTTTTTTTTTTGATTAAGTTGAAATTTACATTGTCATTTTAATTATAATGTAGAGAAGAGGTGAACGAAAACTTTGAAAGGGTGGGGTGAATATTTACTGCATCGATCGTTTTTATGCATTTGCAGTATGGTAGTCTATGTAGCAATTTAAAATGAAACCATAAGTTTGAAGTCATATTGAAGATTCAAAATAAGTTGATGCATTATTTTTATTTTTTTTTTCGGTATAGTTCCCCCGAATGGTCGAAAATCAACAAATCCGAATGGGAGAAGATGGGTCTAAAATTCGTACAAGAGGGCGAATTCTGGTATGTATCAAAAACATAAGATAAATCTAACTATAAATCTGTTTAAATTCATTAATTCTTCAAAAAAAACACGGGATGGGATTCAGTCAACTAATTGTTCATAGAAAGGTCTTGAAAGTTGACTGAACGACCAAACTTTTTCCTTCAGTTACCTTTCAGTAGAAATTCAGTCACCTTACAGTAAAACTTCAGTCTGCTTTCAGTCAGTTTCATCACTTGAAATCTCTCCTTTTTATTATTTACAGGATGTCCTTTCCTGATTTTATGAACACTTTCACACACATAGACATCTGTCACTTCGTGAACACCAGTATTATCAGTATAAAGAAGACCTGGAGTGAAGCCATGTTCCACGGGGAGTGGACCGTCTCTGGCAGAAATGGCGGGAACGACTATAACTCAGCTACCTTCCTCAGCAATCCCCAGGTACTGAAGGAAGAAGGGGGTGAATTTGTCCTACTTGTACAGTGTATACACAGTATAGAACGCTTATAACGAATACACTTATAATGCATTGACGATTATAGCGAAGTGTTTTAAATCCCCATATAAACGTATTATAAGGTAACTGTAAATCGAATTGCATTTTGTACGTAGTAAAATCGGCCGTCCCTGTTTTTTTTAGTTCTAAGCTTCTTTATTGTATTTTATTTAAATATAAGGAAAGATGTAATATTTGTATGCAGAAAGAGTTTTTTTTTTATTTATGAGAAAATTGTAATGACCAAAACTAACATGTTAGAGCATATAAATATAATTTTAAGAATGCTATATAAAAAAAAATTTAATGATGCATTTACTGGGACAATATTTTTCTTCTAGAATTTTGACTGCATATAACCTTTAACAGGGATTGTACTACTAAAACTTGATTTTAATCAGAGCTGACTATTGTTTTATACTCTACAATTACTACTGCACGAAATTTCCTTCTTTATTTCTCTTGATATAGTGAATTTTTCACGACTGCCCTGGCCATTAAACAAATAGTAGAAAAGTAAACCGAATGAATTCAAATGAGACATTTTTTTTATATCTTGTAGTATGTCTTTGATATTGGAGGTGCCCAAGATCGCGTTATGGTGTCTCTAGAACAGCACGATATAAAACCAGGTCGGCAGGAACTGGGTATTCAGCTCAATAATATAGGATTCCACATCATGAAGGTAAAAGATACTCACAGACAGACAAACACTTAAAAGAAATAGGCACAAAAAATTACATCATGATCGTATGGAACAAAAAATATTCTGGTGTAAGAAACATTCTAGGAATACTTCGGGTATCATATACATGTTAGTAAGGGTACAACTGACGAAAAAGAGAGACAGATCAAATATCGACCAGAATAATGCCAATGTAGAACCGTTTTATTATTAGCTTTTATAAATACAGTTTTTATCACGTTTTATGAATAAATATTCTGTGTGAAATAAATGTCTTTTAAAAGTTACTTCTGATTAGCAATAATGACTATGTCAATGAATCAGATCCCAAGACTATCGACTATATTGACTATAGACTCAAGACAAAATGTTCATGTTTTTATATGATGAGTTTTATTTATTTAGACATTTTGTCATTTCCTTTAACATTTCAAATCAGACATACATGTATGTAAAAAATTTTGTATCATTATCAAAACAAGATGTCTTTGTGAAACACTGATCCCCCTGTATGGCAACATAGTGAAGATTAAACTTTTCTTAAATGCAAATTTTAGATATTGGTACCAAAAATAGGGTCTCCTAACTGGAAATACAATTGTGAAACATGAAAACCCTATCACCATCTGTTTTCAAGTTATGGCCAGGTTTAAGTTTTACATAAGTACAGAATTATTCAAAATCAAGGTCAGAAGGTCAGGATTATCGATATCAAATAAAAGGTCTTTCCACAAAGAATACATATGTGAAGTATGGAAAACCTTGTCTTAACCGTTCAAAAGTTATGGCTTAGGTAAAAAAGATTTTTAAGGTAGGTCAAACTTCAACGTGAAGGTCAGAAGGTAACGATTATTGGTATTCAATGAAAGGTCGTTTCACAAGGATTACATATGTGAAGTATGAAAGCCCTAGCCCTAAATGTTAAAAAGTTATTACCAAGGTTAATGATTTTCATAGGTCCAGAAATCTCTAAGGTCAAGGTCAAAAGATGAAGGTATTGGTATCCAGTGAATGGTCTTGCCACAAAAATACATATGTGTAGTATGAAAGCCCTAGTTCTAACCATTCAAAAGTTATTGCCAAGGTTAAAGTTTTTCCAAACATTTCCAAGGTCAAAAGGTCAAAGTAATTGGTATCCAATAAAAGGTCTTGCTACAAGAAATACGTATGTAAAGTATGGAAGCCATAGTCCTAATCGTTCAGAAGTTGTGGCCAAGGTTAAAAAAAAAATTAAAAAGTAGGTCAAACTTCAAGGTCAAGGTCATAGGATCAAAGGTCTTCCTTTCAAATGAAAGTTTTTTTCACAGGCATTAAATATATATAAAGTATGAAAGTAGGAAATCTCCAAGGTCAAGGTCAAAAGGTCAAGGATGTTCATATCCAATAAAAGGACTTGCCACAAAAAATACATATGTGAAGTGTAAATGTCCTAATATCTACTGTTCAAAAGATATGGCCAAAGTCAAATTTGGTGGTACCCAAAGAAAGGTCTTGTCACAAGGAATACATATGTGAAATATGAAAGTAATAACTCCACTAAATAAAAAGTTTTAAGCAAGGTTAAAGATTTTGCAGACAAACAGACAGACAGACAGACGGACAGACACAACAAAAACTATATACCCCTGAAACTTCGTTTACGGGGGCATAAAAAATTCGAATGTTACACAGATTCGAATCTTTGAATTAAGTCTTACAGCGTTCTTTACCCGTACGAAACAGTCCGGGCGGCTTAGACACGGCTCTGGCACGGATTCCGTTTCCAGAAACCCGTGCTTATGACATTCCTGCTCCTATGTAAAATATGTATGGAAAGCCGTACCTAAAATTGGTCGAGGCACGGACACGGCACGGGATATTGGCCGAATTATTTAAATTAGATCACACGGTTTTACAAAACCCGTGTCAGAAAGCCGTGCTTGTTTCCATATATGGCCTCACGGATTCTGTAAACCCGTGTCTGAAACCCGTGTCCTTTTCCATATATGGAGACACGGATTCTGTAAACCCGTGTCTGAAACCCGTGTCTTTTTCCATATATGGAGACATGGATTTTGGAAACTCGTGTCAAAAAAGCCGTGTGACATACCATATAAGGAGTCACGGGATCTGTGCATTTGTCTAGATCTAGGTCATGGCACTTGGAGAAAGTCCTGATGTAACTGTGGATGCCAAAATGGTGACCAAACTAACTACACAATGCTTTACATTCATTAAAGCTTAGTTTTAGAATTCTAAAAGTTAAAAATCTTATTAAATGTGTCCATTTACTTTCTGTTTATAAACTTTATCAGTTACAATCCAAGCTAAGTTTTTAATTAAGATTTTAATGATAATGTGCAATTCAATTGTAATATTTAATCTAGCTAAGTTTGCACAATCTGAGAATTTAGTTTATAAATATAACTTTCACTAGCACTGAATTTCACAAAAAATATAAAGGGAATAGTAAAAGTCCCACTAAAGTCATTCAAATAAACAAAGACTATTTCATCATGTTCATTTTCAACATGCAACAATACAGAAAGATCATGAAAATTGAAAAAAATGACTAATTTATTCTATATTACACTTACTGCATTTAGTTCAAAAGTGAAGAAATCATCCCAGAGTGACATAAATACAATTCCAACTGACATCTATTAGTTTAATATCCTTTAACTAGACTAAAAAAGACACATTCTTAGCTCATGACCATGAATCCCTCCGATTTAATATTCAAATAAAGGAAGTTATGATTGAGCATGCTCAGTAAAAAGCCGTGAGATATAAATAAATAGTTTGAAGCAAAACCCGCTTGAGTTAAAAACCGTCTCCCTGAGACACGGATTCCGTGCCTTCACACGGGTTTCTGTGAGCGGGGATTCCTCACTTTCAGACTCAGAGCCGTGTCCGTGTCTTGGACATACAGAACCCGTGTGGCTTTTTAAAAACCCGTGCGGATTCCGTGTCTTAGCCGTGCCCAAGCCGTGCCTATTCCGCCTCGAACTTTCGTACGGGTATAAAAGGCTGGAATCCAGATCAATAAAATGTTTATTAATATGATATGGCTATGAAAATAAGTCGGTTTTAAGAAAAACGAAATGAAATATCATTGTAATGCATCTTTGTTCATTTCAGGTGGAAGAGAATAGGAAATTCAGGGTACACATAGTAGGAGAGAAAGTGTTTACTTCCGAGTATGCTAAATCTAGAAGCGTTTTTGGGATCATGATTTTACAGAAAGGTCGATATGTAATAGTTCCTACCACAACTAGTTCGGATGAACTCGGACCATTCATGTTACGACTTTACACCGGAAGTTCTTCTGGGGCCAAGTGAGTTGTTAATTTAGTCGTAAAATCATAGGAAGAATATTTTTTGAAACCAAACAAGTATAATTTGGATGTAGTTATCATAAGTATAATGTGGAAAAAAATCTTTGATGAGAAATATTTAAAGCAGATTTTTTTTAATGTCATCGTTGAGATACTATAGTCATCTATAGTTAACTATTATAATAGTAAATCAAAGTGTCAAAGTTATCACTATTGTAAATCAAAGTTTTCAAAGTGATTACTCTAGAGTCATAGTTATTATAGTAAAAAAAGTTTTCGAATCTATCACTGTAGTAAATCAAAAGTTTTCCATAGTAAATCAAAGTTTCCATAGTAATCACCATGGATAGAGATCTGTAATCAAAGTTTTCATAGTTATCACTTTCGTAAATCAAAGTGTCAAATTTATCACTGTATTAAATCAAAGTTTTTATAGTTAATCAGAGTTATCACTATAGTAAATCAAAGTTTTCATAGTGCCAAAGTTATCACTGTTGTTAGGGTTATGTTAACATAATATACAACATATTCTCTAACTGTGAAATTCTTTCTTTTAATGCTAACAGTGCCAGGTAGGTTTTCATTCATTCTATCATGCATGTTGTTATAGGAAATTCTCAAGCATTGCCTATTGATCAATACCCATAACCTTGCTTTCATTTATTTCCAGTTAAAAGGGAATGTATGCAAATAAACCATTCAAATATCAAGCTTTACAGTACCCAAATCAATGCATATTGATGTTATAAACCTGCTTACCCCTGCCAATTGACAAAATAATGGACAATGCTTGAGAATAATGGGACAAACTTCATTTCTCGAATCTTCACATTGGATGGACTTCATATAATCTTTTGTCATGGGAACATTTTTTCTTTAAAAGCCATGCCTTTTTCCCTCTTTGTAAAGGGTTCAGTGTATTACCTTTGGCACTCTTTCCAGACAAGACACATGTATCGGTACATGTAGCTATAGGTAGCTTAATAAAATCAACGAAATCACTAATTTTGAAAAAAAAAAAATTCCAGTTGACAGTTGCATGCCGTTGTCGAGGAATAATTGAACTTGTATCTGTATTCCAATGCCAGCAATACTAGGAAGACCCTTTGCATGGACTTGCTTCTCAAAATCTAACCGATCGCATTTACATGTGCAGTGTATAATGTTTTGTAAAACCCAGTATATACATGCATATGCGCATATAATTCTAAATGCATTTTTGATATAAATGTACGAAAATGAAGTTGCATTTGTAGAGGATAAAATCCAAATACAATTTTCTTTTTATGTTTAATTTTCTTGGAAGAGTTCTATATATGTTTTATAAGACAAAACAAAAAATTCAATTGTTTAATCATCAAAGCATTGTATATCCTAAATTTTTTCTTTCCAATGCAAAAAATTTGAGGAAATTAGAATGTACTTGAGAATTTTTTTTTGACAGGGAATTGACCATGGAATGCCCATCCAATGGTTGTCCTTGTGCAGCTAACTACGTATTGGTGTCCACGGTTACCATAGAAAGCTGCTCCGACCTCGAGATTCCACCTAAATCTAAAGTTAAAAGTAAGTAGTATTAAGTTTAATGTCATAAGACCATCTGCTAAGGGAGATAATTCTGTAAAAAAATCAACTCATAATACATTCTTTTTTTTGTCCTTTTATTATTCAAACTCAGTAATAAATGAACTCAAATTTTGTCGTTTATGCTATACGTTTACTATTTTTTATGTCAAGCAAGAAGATGTCTTAGCATTTCTCTATCATAAAATTACACAAACAGAACCAACGCAGAATTGTATTTTTTTCATTGGTCAAAAATTTAAAGTTTAAAAAATATTTAAAATCGACATACGAGGGTTGATCCAAAAGTAATTTACAGTGTCCGTCTCTTTTATATTTGGCGTCATATAATCAAATACAATATACCAAAATATGCACAAATATAAATCTAATTAACATTGAAATTTTAATTTAATAATGTTCATTTGAATTTATTTTATAAATGTTTAAAACATAGAGCATACCTGGGGGTATCGCCGCGCCACAATGGAACGTCACATTTTAAAGTGTATATTTTCTTAGAATAAAAAAGACAAACACATTAAGAAGATTCTAAAAAAAGCACCTAATCTCCCAATTTTTTAAAAGACACAATTCTCGACATTTATTAGTCTTTAATTGAAAATTAAATGACGGTATTAGTATTTGTGATCATAAACATTGTTGTTGTACTCTGTTGAATTGAACAAAGGGATTGTCGAAATGGGGGGAAAAAACGACGAGTTGTAATGCATTTTTACTTCAAAATATGGGAATCATCACAAGCGACAGTTGCATTAATTAATCAGACTTACAGAATAAAGAATGTAAATAAGATACATCTTAATAGATGGTTTCAGCAATTTTTGGCGGGTGATTGGTCACTGAATGATAAGCAGAGGACAAGAAGAACGAAAGATGGGATATAGGACCGAAACGTTCAATGGTGTCTGACGTTGTCAAAAAAGACAGCCATATAGAGTGACATGTGAATTTTTAAGTTTGTCTTAAGCTACATGTACTCTTCAAGAACTTTTGACAGAGGGGTTAATTATGAAAAGAGTGAGTGTAAAATGGTACCAAGAATTCTTGAAGAAATTAAAATTGGTGAAAGTGTTTGCGAATCGCAAATATCTTTTACTGATATGAAGGAGAAACACTAAAAAGTATGATGGTGCGTATCCGTCATATGACGTTATATTTAGGTGCGGCGACTACCATAAACGCGCATTGTTTAAAATCCGATATTTTTGAAAGTATACATTATATTCCTTTGAATTTTTCAGGTCTGATTTGAAATGAATAAAGCTTTCATCAAATATAATTTTTGTTGATTTACGTCGATTTATAGCCATTTCATCAAAGTTGTGACATTACTTTTGGATCAACCCTCGTACATTTAGAAATCATCATTTGATGAATATTTTGGTGTTTCAAATTGAACAGCAATAACACATACTATATATTATCATTTTAAGCAATGGATCCCTACGTGAAAATAATATGTGAAGGCGAAAAAGTGGAAAGTGTGACAAGAAGCAACGATAAGAACCCGAAGTTTGGAACAAAAGCCACATTCTACAGGAAAAAGCCTGATGATCCGATCATTGTAGAGGTATTATACTTAGATAATGTGGAATATACTGAGCTCTTTAATTTTAAGATGGCTGAGATAGTTAACATATGTATCAAAAGACATGAACACGATATATATTGTTTGTGCATGCTTTCTTTTTGAAAGAGTTCTATACAATTTCAACCAATTTGATAATCTTGATGAGAATGACTGAGAACACACATTGATAATTATTTATTATTCATTATTCGATATAACCAGTTACAATTCATATTTAATGATGCAGATAGCAAACGATGACTGATCTCAAAAATCTATTTAAAAAAGGCAGGTCAGTTATTCGTTCATTTTAAATTTTTCGAAAATCATTTAAACAATAATTATTTTTCTTTCAAGGTTTGGAACTGCAACACACTGATGGATGATTACATTGCAGAAGGTAGAATAGAGGAGAATGGTCATGAAGAAGGAATTACTAAAGAGTTACAATTGTTTGGAAGAAAGAAAGAAGCCACCATGGAAAAACCAGGGTCAATTAAAATCCACATATGTTCTAGTGCTGATCTGCAATATCTGTAACGAGATTTGAAGGAGATTTTGATGGGACAATGATGGGAGTTATCTTCCCTGAACTATGTGATAAGAGTTGTCTTTCTTACATCGTTTTAACTTCCTGTCAGTGGCTATTCACAGTCGCCTGGAAGTCTTTTTATTATATCTGACTGAGCAGATTGTTTTTACAGACTCTGTTGACTCAATATTTTTATGAATATATTTTTCTCTCTTTCCAATGCTTCAACATTTAGGCTTCACTGTGATACGATGTTCATTTGACGAATTGATGTGGCAAGGTCAATTCTGATGACATTTTGAAATACCGGGGTAGTTCTGAAGAAAAGCACGAACTAACTTTCTTCAGATAGCATGTTTTTTTTTATATCTTTAAAAGAACAGAAGAGACACACTTTTTAAAAGTTGTTGTTTGTATTGGGGAGTTTAATATATTTTTAAGAATACATCCTACAGTTTATCTATCGTGAGGTTAATCATTTATATGTACAATACTGAATTGTTAATTGATATATCAGGTATTGCTTTTAAATTCCTGACGATGCATTGACACGATAGATGTGTTGTTTTTTTTAAATACTTTTCCAGTTTTTTTTCTTCATAAATATACAATGTACTTTTTTATTTTGGTGTGGATTTGAAAATCTTTTTTAAAAGATATATATTTTTTTATTTTTTCTAAAATTTTCCTGACACAGCATTAACTTGTGACTTATAACAACAGAAAGTGGAATTTCCGTTGATAGACTGAGCTTGGTGATTTATCAATCGGTAATGAAGAATTTATTATGAAGTTTTTTTTTTTCATTTAATGAAAGCCTGTCTGTGATACAAGAATTACCCGTCCAAGATTTACCACTTTTGGTAAAAATTATGTATTTACTTTTATTAATACCATAATCTGTTATCTTATTTTGTTGAATGTTCTTTCAATCTACAAGTTGTTTCTTTCCCGCAGATTGTTGTGTCTCGCCATGAATAATTATAATTTAAAAAAAAAAACAAAAGTTGTTTAATTTTCTGAAGCAGTGTTTTATTTTCTGAGAAATATATTTTAATATCATTTGATACAACTGAGAAAGAATTTTTTTTATTTAATTGGCATCATATTTTTCTCCTTCATAGAGTTATTTAAGTGTATGTTAGTTTTCATTTTGTTTTTATTTATTGAGATTTTTGAAATTTCTTATTGTGTTAAAATAAAACAAAATTACAACCTTACCTAACATTGTTATTTGTTTGCATTGAATTACATCATGCATAGACGATTGATATTAAATGAACACTAACAAACTTAAGCCATTTCTTATAGGATAGTGTGTAGATGTGTATACGAGATATGATGGGAATATTTGATGATTGTGTTACACTATTATACAGTGCAGGGAACTAATTTTGTTACATAAACCAGCATCAGGATCAAGCATAAGTAGGATCAGGATAAAATATAGCATCAGCATCAGCACTTAAAAAAACAGCATTACTTGCAATCCAATAGCATATAGCAAGCAAAGGATAGAATACATTTAGCATTGACCAAAAGTGAAAACAGATAAAGGAAAGTCATTTAATACAAATTACAAATAAAAATTACCCCAAAAATTATTTTTTATGGCTTAAAATAGATATATCTTGTTTTTGAATTATCCATTTCCAAGCAGGATAATCACCTACTTCGCGAGTAGCACTTTAACACTGGAGAAATTGACCTTGTATCAAACCAGCATCAGGATAAGGATCAAACCAGGATCAGGATAAGGATAACTAGCATCAACATCAGCAAGCAAAGGAAGCATCAAAATCAGCAAGCATAGGAAGCACCAAAATCAGCATTGATGCTGTAACAAAATTATTTCCCTGCACTGTACATTGTCTATGGCCCTAGCATCTAAATCAAGTGGAATAATATTTTCATCAAATACAAAATCGAGCCATTTCATATTAAATACAAATCAGTACCCATAATGTTTGATGTAGATAAAATTCAGAGATATTTCACTTTCCAAATAAAATCCAGAAGAAAATATTTGCAATCCAATACCAGCCTCAAATTTAAACCTTTACTTAGTACTCATCGCAATTAAGCAATGAAGAATCTTCTTTGGTTTCTAAGGTGCCTTTCCCCCAAAATCGTTACTTTTACTTAGAACGACCCAATGCTTTGCAACGGAATTTTTCTTAGTTTATATCTCTTCTCTTTTAAAACGTACTTCAAACCAAAAAGTGAATGAAAGGTTTTTTTCCTTTGTTTCGTTTTTTTTAAAAGCTTTGAGATATTGTTTCGCAAAAGATGTGTGTTTTGTGACAGACAGCTATAATGATACTGAAAAACAGACAGACATATACAATATTCCTTGCTTTTAGTGAAGGTAGGGGACAAAAGACAATGGCAGTATATTTATTTTTCAAATATCGATAAAGCAATATACATTTCTAGCATTAGTTATAACTACAAGCAAAGGCATAAATAACCGCATGTTTATAATACATACAGATACATGTTTCATTGCACACCCACTATTAAAATCCTACACCAACAAACAAACTTGAAGTTCATTCTTACAAAAATATCTTGAACTATATAAAATATCCTGAACTATAAATTAATCATTGATCATGACCTAAAATTTGGACCATTGAGGAGCCTTAGAAAGTCGTACAAAGAAGATTCTGTATCCAAAAACAGAATATCTAAGTTAAAAAAATTAATTTGAGGAAGTTATGGACATTTCTGTTGTTCGTATTAAAATGGAAATAATTGAGAACATTTAGATTGTTTCCATTACATGTATAAATAGTTCTGAAGGTAAGGTAAAACAATTTGAAAAAGAAAAGAATAATTAATTTGACATTATAGATATGAAACGAGTAGCTATTCATTAGAATTTTCATTCACTATAGTAGTTTCATTGACAGGTTTTTAAAGTAATAAAATTTTCTTTATAATTCAAAGATATACGTTATAAATTTCATTACCAAATGAAAGAATTTAAGGATTTCATTTTAAATGAAAAGTACTGAAGAAATAGATACTGAAAACGTGTTACATTTGGCTGTGTATTCTTTTTAGCGCTTTTGACGGAAAGGGACTTCCGCTAATTCAAGTACAACGCTAAATGTCTTGCTCATATATAAATAATAACATTGAGAAATGCGCTAAATCAAATATACGCTAACACATTCAAAAATCAATTTCAGTCAAATATCGTACGCGCTAAATACATTTACAGTAGTTGGAACTTCATATACATGATATTTGAGATATTCGTATTCGAAATACCGAAGTTAACTGTACAGTGTATAAGTCATGATCGTCAAGAACCATAGAAGTACTGTAGTATTAGAAATTTTCTTTTCTAAATTTGAAACCAAATGTCATGCATTTCTTCTTCACTATTCCTCCAAGCTGTGGAGGACCGCAGAAAAAGACCTTTACGTTTCCCTTCCTTTCCTCCGAAATCTTCCCAAATATCTGAAAAAAGAAATACGACATACAATGACATGTAATCGGGAAGATTGAGCGTTTAAGGAGGCTGGATGTCAACAAAATAACGGTTACCATAAAAAATAACCCAGTTTCTGAAATATTATATCTAAAGCTGTCAACTATCATTTGGCAAAGAAAAATTTTCTACATTTTAATTTCATGAAAATTGATCATTTTTGTACAATAAATTTATTTAGAGCTCTTCTGCTAAAAGAGATCAATATAGTCTGAAAATGGCCATGACCACCCAACCCTTTTAGGTAATCAATGCATTTTCATGAATAATACTTGTCTAGTAATTACACCTAAAATATCAGTATTAGGCCTATAAACTGATTCACTTCTTCACAACGAGCATTTTTTGCAAAGTATTTCAAAAACATTCAGTCCTCAATATTACATCTTGCTTCAAGTTATTTTAAGCAACATAAAAACCTTATCTAAATAACACCTTTCGAGTTTCATGTGTAAATTGAAATTTTTATTAATAAACGTATTTTGATGAATAAAAGCGATGCCACCTAAACTGTATAGCATAAAAACACTTATCAAAAGACAACTATTCCAAAGTTTTTCAAAAACATCCAGAAACCTCGAAATGAAAACTTCATCTAAATAACAACTTCTATTTTCATGGTATTGAAATACAGAGACTGTTTTTAGTAGAAATCTTGCATTTAGAAGACCTATAAATAGGAACCACCTCGTTCCAGTTCGGGCGCCCAGCTTGTGTTCGTGTAGATAGCCCTGTGATCAGATCCTTCTTGTCCCTTCTATGTATTATACTGAGGGCCATCTGAAGCCCCGCCCCTCTAATGTCACTCTTCGTCTTGGCAGCTGTCAAATAGAGCTGAATGTCAATCACTTTCTCCATTTCCTTGCCTTTCTCGAAAGCTACGTCGATTTGCTCTTTTTCGATTTTATTTAGGAGGCCTACGAACCACTCGAAACTTTTCTGATCCCGATTTATCCATATAAAATTCACCTAAAGAGAAAACAAATAAAATGATGTAATGGATCAAACTATTTCTCATATGAAAAAAAAAATAACACGGGAAATTCTTAAACATCAATGTACCAAATTAATGAATAATATTGTTGTAGGTTTTAATAAGATAATAGAACAAGATTTTCCTAAGATAAACTCAATATTCATGTAGCATAGCTTGTAACCAAAGGGATCTAAAATTTCACAGGAAACTCAGCAATTCGTTTTTAACAAACAAAAACACTTCAAAGTCTAAAAAAATCCATTCTTTCATTAATATCGTCATTATTTTTTCTCGATATTGGACATTCTATTGTAAAAGTAAAGATTTAATTTTATTCTGTCAAAAAACATATAGAAACCTTCTTGAGGTTCATAGCCGATTCGGGTATAACACCATAAAAGCTGTGATGACATTTAGGACAGGTTCTCTTGGATTCTTTGTATCTGTACATGACGCTCTGTAGAATGGAGGCCATAGGTGTGACCCCTATACCGGCTCCAATCAACACAGCGTGTTCTGTCTCAAAGATTTCTCTTGTGGCTGTCCCGTACGGCCCGTCAATGTAACACTAAAAGGGGAAAAGTGTAAGAATTCAGTATTTAAACATCACTTCAGGCTATCTTTAGAAATATTTGCTTGCCCTTTCCGAATCAGGCTGAAATTTTGGGGTCGGTAGATATGTGTAAAAATCTTTCTTCTTGGAAATATCAACATATTTGTTGACGAAATCAGGGGAATAAAAATAAAACAATATATATATATCTTGTCCTGGAATTTATAAAAAAATATTTTTTGTCAGTCGGTATTGAAAGGGAAACCTGACATCCGACAATTTTTAAAAGATGGCCTAATATACATTTCCGTTTACAATACAAATGTACTTGAAAAGATGATATACATTTGGCAATATTTCTTGAACTTAATCATGTTAACAACAAGCTAATAAGAAGGGAGATATCATCACCATATACTGGTAAGAGCGGTATACTACCGTTACTACTTGATCTATAAGGTAAGTTGAAGATTAAGAAATTGAGGACATCTCCTATGTCAAATACATATAATCTATCTGATGTAATGTTATGTCCTTGTTTTAAATAAATTAATCATTTAAATGGAAACTGAATAGTCTGGTACTGAATCTTGGATTATTTTAAAAGTTTTAAAACGGTACAAAAGTTATTTGAAACGTACCCTAACTTGAACCTTTTTCATAACTTGTGCCATTCTTTTCTCGGCTTTTAGCTCTTCCTAAAACGAAAATTATTACACTTTAAGAAAAGAGTATCATTGTCTTTCCAAGGAAACAGATAACTAATTCAAGTTTTTTTTCGTTAATAGGATCATCAGTTACCTTATCCTTCGGTCTGTATTGAGATTGTCGTTTGTTTGGCCACCAGGAAGCTAAAAGAGTAAAGATGTAAAGTAGAACACGTTTTTATGGAACAAAGTTTCCTTAAACTAAGTCTTAAGGTAAATTCATTTTATATACTTTTGACCTATACCTTTTAAGCTATAAGTTGTCTTTGGTCACTTGTAGAGGGAGCAATGCACAGAAATGATGATAATTTGCAATGTAAATAAATTAAGAAAAACGTGTAACTAAATTCAGTTATAGTTAGTATTGGAAAATACGGATGTTCTGAAGAAATTATATGAAGTACTTATTACAAAAAGGAGGTAATATAACATATGCCACTTTTCAGAGTAAAGTTTTCTGTCAAAAAGCATATCCTTATTATATGTCACTTTTCAGAATAAAGTTTTCTGTCAAAAAGCATTTCCTAATTTTTAAAATAATTTTGTTCGTTATTTTGCCAACAATATTCTGTAATAAATTTAATTTTTGCATAGAGCACATTTTATTCTTGATCATTATATTTTTTTGAGAGAGATATTTTGCAGTCAATGTAACCTCTGGCCTGGCTGATGGCTAGAGTTCTTCGTTTCATCACGTTTGGATCTGGTTTTTCTTTTATGGGGTCCAATGCAGAGAAATAATCATACAGGCGCTTAGTCCAGTGACCTAATGACCGTACGTGAATCCAGATGTGACCTACGAGATATAAAAAAGACCATGTTAGAAAGAATCAAAATATAACCTGGAGATATCAAGCAAAGTAAAATTGGATTTGCTTTAAGAATATACTATATATTGCATTAAATATAAAATCAAATTTATTGAAAAATTATTAAATATGTATGATGTGGAAATTAATAATCACCCAGTTATGACAAATTTGATTTTTGATTTGATTTACCGCATTCTATATGAGCTTGATATGCATAAAGATGTATAAGCATGCTCTGTAGAAAATTAACAATGTACTTCATTTAGCAGAAGTTGCTTTCCACGAAACATACTATAAATACTCTGCTAAATGCAAAATTGGACTGGATTAGCACTTAATGTTCATAAACCCTCTGCTCACTCAAATTAATTGTTTCTTAAATCTTATAATTTTTTCTAAAGGAAATATATATGCTAAGTAAAATTCAAACAGTTATAATATTGCTCACGGGGCAAACTGGACTAAAAAGACATTTCAACTTGACATATTTTGTCATAAAGAGTAACCTCTCTTATCAGAGTATCGAAGTACCTTAAATATGGAAAGACCTTAAAGATCAGTATATGGTAAGTGATAAAAATAAAAATACTTTTCGGGATATAAAGAACTAATCGTGATATCAAAGCAAAATGATATTTTTGAATCATGCTACCTTTCATTTCCGGAGCACTACTTATGGTGAACGGATGCCATTCAAAATGTGCAATATCCGGAATTTGTATAAAAATGTAGTCACCAGGCTGAAACTGGAAGTTCTCAGGGCGAGTAATAACCAAATGACAAACCTTTACAAAAGTTGATTACAATTAGGGATCAGATTGTTTTAATGAATTCATTAATGTTCAATAAATTCAAAATAACTATAAACACATTTAAAATATTTCAAAGAAATAAATATTAGCATATGTTGTTCTATTTGGAATTAAAAATAACACAAAAATAGATTTCATGAATTGTTCTTCAATATAATTTCTCATATGTCAATGAAACATTCGGTGACATAAGAGTAATTATATTGAAATTATAATAAAATGTTTCAGTGACATTTATTTTATCCAAGAATTCGAATAAATATTTTCTGAGATATAAATGTATGTGACGATTAAAATTACCCCAGAAGGCAGAAGACAAACTTCTGTGATAAAGGTTCGGCCATAATGGACTCTCTTAAACAGCTTGGAGCCAATGATCTTCTCGATGACAAATAACACTCCGGGCATGATAAAGTAGTACCAGAAGGTCGGTGCATGTATAATTAAGAGAATCCAGAACGGTATGTACAACATGTGAGTCCAGTAGAAAACCTATGTAAAGTGGAAGTAGCATATGGAGATGAAGTATTCAAGCTCAGAAATCCATAAAACAATACAAAATAGTAGCAGAGCAAACTCGGACCTCCAAAGCATCACAGGTGCCATGGAGGAGTGAATATCCCCTGACGAATGGTCACATCTGCCGTGTGCTCCTTGCCTTGATCGGGAATTTTATTGCAATTGATGTAATAAATTCTTTTTATATATTGAATGGACTTATTTAACATAAAACGTAAGTATTAATAAAATGATAATATTCATATTGATTTATTAGTTTATTGTTGTCAAGAGGAACTACCATTTCATAGTAATGATTTAACTAATGAAAGACAAAGATTTCAACCATATCCTTATTTAAAATTAAAATTGAAATAAAAGCTAAAATCAATTCCTGGGCTGAGTATAAACCAAACACTAAATACATGTACATGTAAGTGCTACAAGTACCGTAAAAAAAATCAACCATTATAGTTTAATTGTTATTGAAAGGGATATAAAGAAATATGTTTTGATCATAAAAATCCACATACAATGTACATAAAAAAAGAAAAGAAAAAAAAAAAACGTGCGATAACTATGAAAAAAACTCATAACCCCTGTGGAAGCGTCCATATTCGAACTCTCTAAATGGTTTTAAGGTCTCCAAACGGGATGCAAGGTGCATTCATGACAGGAGAGTTGAATTGTGATAATATCATATTTATCTTGCAAATAGACACTAATGAATATCAATCATATGACCGAGATTTGCATTTTACAGCATGGGCTATCCTTGTTAAAATAATATGGATATTAAAGAAAAATTAGTCTTCGGCAAAACACAGTATGAAGCATGCAAAGGGCCAGATTAACAACTAGTTTTTGCAAAGTGGTCATATATGTGCACAGGATCCAAAGGGGTATAGTTTAACAAGTCATAAACTTTGACACCAGTTAATATTTCTTTCTGTGAAAGTTAATACAAATGAACTCTGCCAAGATTTTTTAAAACAGTGGTCGATTTCTAAACAATACGAAATGACCATTGAACAAGGGCATTAATCTTGAACTTTTGCATATTCCAGAGGTGGGATCAAGTGCCGAGGAGGAATGGGCATCTCCTGTTATCCAGCCTCATCCACCTCGAACAGTATGTTTAAATAATTAACTGACATTAAGGTTAGCAGAATATTACGTTGTTTGCGAACTTTTTCATTACCCTTCGTATACGAGTTATGCTTTTTTCTATATGTATTTTGCAAATTCAAAATTCATGTTAAATCGACTTTACAGTTTTGTAACTTACCTCAAAGTGACCACTTTTCCTAACAAACGGAAGTGAGAAAATGATCATAACAGTCAGAACTGCCAACAGAGCCCATCCCGTGATATAGGTCGATCCTGGAATCAAGCCCATTGGTATCTTCGTAGTAAACAGTATTGTCACAATGGTATTATTACTTGTTGGCATTTCAGATTTTATATCTGGAAATAAAAGATTTATAAATATACATGTAAATGTGTAAAATTTATTTTAAATTGCATTAATTCAGCTAAAATAATAAATAATGAACCATCTACATTCATCTATCATTTCAATTGTCAGAAATTATGTGGTAAATTCAGGGATCATGTTAAGAAAGTGGAGAAACAAAATTAATGTTATCATTATGCTGCTTCTCAAAATGACCTACACGCAGTCCCAATTGCTCCAGCAGAATGGAATATGGCGCATACGCCAATGACAGCTCCGACCATTTTGTGAAAAGTAATGTGTTGATCTAGAGGAAGTATCGCAGCAAGAGGGGTGGATCTTATCAGGGTGTGGCACTTCCGGAGAACCAAAATCAGGACAAGCATGCAGTTGAAGTTTAGAAGCATTCCAAAGATTCCAGCAGCTACAAAAATCATTTTTCCAAAAGTCAACTCGGCGAAAGCTGTCTAATCGAACACTTCTGGGAAACAAATTTTGTGAGTTCAAAAGACAAAAGAAAGTTAGATAGAATGAAAATTTACAGTGAAATGGATTGCTCACTTGTTGAATTAGATGAATAATTTTAAGTGAACATATATTCAGAATAACTTCAATGGTTTCAATATCTATCGAAGTTTCCAAGAAAATCAATAAGTTTTGTCCACTCTCAGATATCTGTTTGATATGAGTTTGAAACTTAATTTTAAAAGTTCTTATATATTTTTTTAAATATGTATACATTGTACATGTATATTAAGAAAATCTGCCAAATTAACACCTGTGCAATACATCTTACTTTGAATGTCAGACATTTATTTTTATAATCGCGTTTGGTGCTTCTTTTTTATACTATTTTATTTTCTGCAATCGGACACCTTTCTTTTTCAACATCAAATGTTCCATTTCAAAGAGTATTTCACCAGTTTCACTTTTTAAAGAAAAACAGAAGTACATCTATACCAACCCAATCTAAAGATGGTCAAGGCTATATCATCAGAAGCCTTTTCCAGAACCTCTAGTACGGTATAAACAGTGATCGCGATATTAATCAGGATAAAAATGATCACGAACATTATCTTCCGCAAATTGTTCCGGAAGTACTTCCAGGTGAACTTGTGTCTCCAGCTCTTTTCTGTTTTCTTCGCAGGCGTTGCCGATCCAAACCATTGAGTCGCACTAAAGAATTTTTAGAAAACCTTATTTTAAAGAATGTCTTATGAAGTTAAATCAAATATTTCTTGTGGCAAACAATTAAATAGGAAGTGTAGGCAATTAAAATCTTTAAACACAATTCTTCTGTTTGAATTTAATGTTGTGATTGACATATGCTATTTTACTCGATATGATGTTTTTTTCAATCTAAAATTGACATTGATCAGTTTAAATACTAAAATTGTAAATAGTATATATGCACATAAACATATGGATTGTGAAACAAACCTCAAGGTCAAGGTCTCAGTCATGCTAGGATGTTTTTCTAGAGCCTTCCTCAAATCTTGGAACGTGATGCTGTCACTTCCGGTTTTGCCCGCGGCTTCAAACATGGCGTCTGTTAGGTCGTTCAAATGTTCTTCCCCAAAATATAGAGAACTTTCCTCCATACACGTGGTAAGAATCGTCTTCAGCTCATCGCGTTCTATTTCACCAGATCCTAACAACGATAAAAAGCTAATTACAGTCAAACCTTACCTTTGTAGTCTCTCGTTCGGTGTGGGCCAAGGAAAAAATATTCAAGGAATCATTATATTTAGGAAAATATACATGTAGTATAAATGACTAGAACTTAACAATCACTTCAAAACATTCATTAAATTCCTTTATCTGTGTTTTATATACCGATTTTGTTATTCAAGAAAAAATAAAATCATTATGTATTTGTATTTTTCGGTATCCATTAATTCTATTATGTAAAGTAGTTGTTGAAATCATTTGTTAATTCTACGGATAATAAGTAGCACCAGATCTTTGAAAAATGCCCAACATACTTACGGTTGAACATAAATATATAATTTTAAACAAAACTTTCAAAAATATATAACATTTTCAAAAAATAAAACCAAATCTATTGTGATGAAGATAGTGAAATTACGTCTTTTTTACCTTTCCATTATCAGACTAACAAACATGGGACTGGTTTGATTTTGATAATGTTTGTTAATTTATTAAAAACAAGAAGACAATGGTAAAATTGAAATTCCATCAAAACTTACAAAACAACATAATTTTTAATTGACAAATGATCAAATTGGTAAATTTCATTTATCATCGGGTATGACTGATTAAAGAAAAGGGCTACTAATGTTGCATTTGGTCAAGTTTGAAGCTTTTATCCCCAGCCCCAACACACTCTTCTTCCATGCACATAAAATGTTAAAGCAAAATGAAGAGGAAATTACTGAAACAACAGGAACGAAAAATTGTGATTACTTGTAATTTTAGTAAATTACAAAAACTGTATTGTTTTCAAGAAAATGCAAAATTAAAACGCACTTAATCGGGAAGTTTATTTACCTAGTATTTTATTAAATACCCCATTCGTCCACTCAATTCAAGATCTTATTAACAATTATGTATGTCTTTCGATTATTTTCAAGTTCTTGTGTACCTGTCATTTGATTTCCTGAAAATATAAAACTTTATCCTTCATAAGAAAGGATAAATTTTACTCCAAAATACACTTTCTGATACAAAATATCCAACAAGTCAATAAAGACATGGCTGTTTTGACTATGTGATCATCACATTCAATGCATTTAAGAAGGTTCTTACTGTCCAGTTACCGTAGTGTTATAACACATTGAATATATTCTGTTGACAGGTCACATTAACTGAGAGTAAACTATTAAATACATATATTTCAACTGCGTAAAATGAATTATTTCTTTTAATTGCTTATCTCGCTGTTTTGAATTAAAGGTGAAACATACAGTTATTAATAAAATATTGTAAGAACTATATTAATTTTGTGTTTTTACCATTAAATGACAGAAAATCCGAATGAAAGAACTACGTGTAGTTTCAAGTTTCAAATCTTGAATTTACTAGAATTTTTATCAGTTTTGCAATAACAACATTATGTGAATTAAAAAAAAAATATTATAATACATGTACAAGCGTAATAGATAGGAAAAAACGAAATGTAATTCGAAAATAACAACATCCTTTTTGCATTATCTATGCTATCCCAGGATTGAAAGAAGAATGAATTAGGAATTCCTACCATCTATATCATAGACATCAAAGACGAATTTGAGTTTCTGGACGGGCGATCCATTGGTCAGGTTCCGCAGTCCGTCCATCAGTACGCTGATCTCAATACTGCCCTTCTTATCAGTGTCAAACAGACTGAAAAAGCGGTCAGCGAAGAAGGACTGAAAATAATAGTACATCATTTATATAAATATAATTGCAAAACAGGCTGAAAAAGCGGTCACCGAAAAAAGACTGAAAATAAATGGACTTTATGTTAGTCAAATCGGCTGAAAAAGCGGTCACTGAAAACTGACTGAAAATAAAGGATGTCATTTCTATAGTTTTATAGATATCAAGATCAAACAGGCCGAAAAAGCGGTCACCGAAGAAACATTGAAAATTAGGGGACATTTTTTATATAGATGTCAACGTCAAACAGTCCGAAAAAGCGGTCAACGAAGAAGGACTGAAATAAAGAGACATCATTAATAAAGATATTAAGGTCAAACAGGCTTAAAAAGCGGTCACCGAAGAAAGACTGAAAATAAACGGGCATCATTTACTAGTATATAGACATAAAAAAGAAAACAGTTGTTGAATATCAGAATAAGATAAATATGACACAAAAATAAACAAATAAGGTTTGAAAGAAAAAAAAAGGTAAAAGTGGCAATACACAAAAGCAGGGAGAACATAAAAGATGCAAAAAAGTAGGACTTGAAAAAAGAAATACGTAATGTTTGCTAAATATAAGACAATTTATTAATTCTAAACTTGAAAATTTTATTTGATTGTGCTCTTAATATGGTTAGAAAAGATTATTTATCAAATATATTATCAAAATATTATTTTTAAATGTTCAATGTTTCGCCTTTAAATGCATTTTGAAATTGAAGCACAATATTAGGAAACATCCCAACCTCTCTGACCCCCATAACATCTTGGAAATCATCAAATTGGATTCTGCCATGTTCGTCAACTTTTTTCGTAAACCTTTCTTCCACACAGTCTAACCATTTTTTTTCATCCTGTGAACATCTAAAGAAGATGTAGAATGATTATTTTGCAAACCTGTATATATTTATATATTTCCATTTCCAATTGTTTTCCCTATGATAAACACTACAAAAGTGTTTCTTGTTAATTTCATCATAATACCCTGTGGTATGTATATTTCTGTATTACTGAAAGGTCAAGTGTCAACCTGCATGTATATCACTGGCGTATGAATACACTGAAGAAAATATAGTTGTTTTGTTTAATTTGTTTACAAAGTAATAAGATATAATATTTCTTTTTACAAATATAATAAAAAATGAAGTATAGAAAAATTTGTTGAACTTTAAGTAGATTACAGGTTTTATTCAAATACATAAGGTAATTCTGTTGAGCGTCTGCTAAAATCACACAGTCTTCTGCAACTCCCCATCATTTCCAAAATCACAGTCAATAAGCATGGAGCCTGACGAGTCCTATGGAAAATTTAGTGTTTTCCCCCCAGTATCTGAAAGACCAGAGTTAACCAATGAAGATGCAGAGTTATTGCTTTCACTTATATCTGATAACAAATCCGAGCTAGTTCCAATTGAACTGAAACCGGAGCCCTCTGACCATGATGTACCTGGCATGGATCCCTTTCATGATGATGATGACTCTCTTCTTGCTTCAATTACTGCATCGGACCTAATACCACATCTATCGCAAACTCCACTTCAAATGGATCTTCAGCAGCCTGCAGATCCTGGTTTGCCTCCCCCTGAAACGCCAAGTACAAGTTATAGATTTAGAAAAGTTACAGAGAAGCAGATAAAAACTTATCAAGAAATGACTCAATCCAAAAACACCAAAAAACACACCAAATGGGGCATCAAAATTTTAGATGGTAAGTTAATTATTCTGCAGATTCTTGAATACAAATTTATAAACATAATACATGTGCAGATTATAGTATAAATAGATATACATGTAAAAAAAAAAAAAAGAATCACAGATAAAAAATCAATTTAATTTTTAAAAAATTAAAATAAAACAAATAATAAGCAAATAAAATGTATAAAATGTATAAAAAGTATGATAAAAATATAGAAAAATTAAACAATAAAAGTTAACGGGTAACATAGTGCATGTACATGTATTGTAGATTGGCATTTGGAAACTTTCAATGACAACATTGACCTTTCATCAGTAAGCGCTGAAGAATTAGCCTCTAAACTTGAACGGTTCTACTGTGAAGCTAGACCTAGCAAAGCTAAAACACCAAATGAAGAGTACCATAAAAATACTTTGAAAGGCATACGTGCAGCAATCAACCGTCGGCTATCAGACCTGAGAAGGGATATTGATATTGTCAATGATAAAACTTTCAAAATGGCAAACAAATGCTTGACTGGCCTCCTAAAACAAAGGATGACAGAAGGAGCATCTCGCCCCACAAAACACAAGGTAATAATTCCCAAACCTGATCTCCAAAAAATCTCATCCTTTCTAGAGACTGCATATTCCTCACCAATAAATCTTCGCTTGGCAATGTGGTATACCATAGCAATTCACTTTGTATCGCGAGGACTTGAGTTTCACCACCAACTTAAAAGGGACTCGTTCGAATTCAAAACCGACGAAAATGGTTTGACCTATGTCTGTCTCACTCACGAAACAAAGCAGAAAAACTACCAAGGTGGATTAGACAAACATGAGATGATGGCTGACAAACGAATGTATGAAACACAATCAAAAATTTGCCCAGTTCAAATGTTGAAGTTCTTCCTATCAAAGACTCCTATTACTGCTACAAATCTGTTTAACAAATGTGTGAGGGAGGCAATCTCGAATCCCGATCAAGAACTTTGGTACAACACTCACTCACTTTCTCAGAAAGCGTTTGTAAATTTCTTACCTGATATTTGCAAAATGGCAGGATGTCAACGCTACACAGCACACAGCCTCCGAGCAACAGCAATCCAAACCATGAATGATGCTGGGTTTGAGGCGCGCCACATCATGTACATGTCCGGTCATAGGAATGAGGCTTCAATCCGGAGTTATTGTAGAGAGCTATCCTCGGATCAAAAGCAAGTTGCCAGTGCAACTTTATCAACTATCACCGAGGCCGAGAATGAGAACTCCACTTCCGTCAACACTGAATCATGTCAACAAATCGCCACAGCGTCATCCGACATCGTCCCTCAGTCCTTTAATTCCGACCGACAAATCGCTATAGCAACGCCATCATCTGCCATCGTCACTCAGTCATTTAATTCCGACAACTCAACCTCCTCCTCTTTTCTATCATCAACGCAGACCGGTTTCCTGACCAGCTCCCGTTTTATTAACTGTACTCTGACTTTCAACATGGCTGCGGACAAGTAGCTTACACGAGTTTATGCTTCCGCTAAATCTATTATAGGTCTAGGTCACATATTTATCATGATAATTAACAAGATTACTTTGTTCACGATTTAAATTCTATTGTTTCTTATTTTATAAATGTCAATATTAGAATACAGTAATTAAAAAAAAATCATTTAATTTGTTTCGTATTTTATGGGACTATTTTTTTAAAGTTAAATTTGACGTCACAGGTCGGCCTATATAAAACATGATGGATGCCATGTGTATTTCAAGTCTAGATCTATACAAACACTGGACGAGTACAAAAACAAATAAAAAATGAAAATATAAGGAATCACTGTCTATTTTTTGAGGGTATGCCAGGGACATCAACAATAGTGGGAAACATGGGATAATTTTAGCATAACGGGCGTTATGCAAATTATCCCATGTTTCCCACTATTGTTGATGCCCTGGCATACCCTCAAAACTAGACAGTGATTCCTTAAATATACCTTATATATGCTTTACTTCTCAAATTATAAACGATATTTTTAAAAAAAAGATAAATGGCACAAAACAACTTTCTTTAATTTAGTTTTCAAGTCTGTTCATATGCTTGGACAAAAAAAACTGCAAAGAGATATAAGAGGTATACGCATTGGTGATATGATAGGACGGATTAGTTGCCTATTTGTTTTATTTAGGAAATTAAATAAAAATATGTACGACATCTGCAATTCTTGTCGATACAATATGGTACATATTTTGCATGCATTTGCAGGTCATGATCAACAACTGCAAAGATTAAAATATTATGGTTTATTGTCCCTTCTTAAACTTAAAGTAAATTTTCTATTTTTTACTCAGTAAGATATTATTAAAAATGGTGATGATTTAAAAAATGATATGTTGTTTGAAGGTCATCGGAAACGATTCTTATCACAAAGATTTTTCTTTTAAACATAAAAAATGCTACTAAAAAAGCAAATAACGTTTAGTGAATAGAAATGTGACATTCTTACATTAAATGTAACCTATTTTAATACTTTATAGAGTTTTCTGTCACAGAGATGGTCTATATTATAAAACGCAATCATACATCTTTTTTTCTATACAGTCATCTACATGTACCACAGGGGAAAAAGTAAACTAAAACATACGATACATTAGGTTTCCCCTCTCCTGACATGCCAGGAACTTCCTCCAATTCTGTTCCTCCATGACCATCATTGATAACGATTTTGATATCTTGGGAATCATCATTTTCGTCCTTGCTCTTCTTTACTAATTGTTCCTTATCAGCCATATGTGTTCAGTGTGTACCACCCCAGCTGACTGTAGAAAAAGACCTTAAAATCCTGACAAGATATACATAATTCGATAATTACAGTGAGTTGTAACATTTTGCTTGCAAAAAGGAAATGATATATATAAAAGACATTGTTTTCGTGTCAATAGCACAATGGACAACACTCCCCTATTAGATCCGCAGCAGTTTCCGGTCCGTTGACCTTAGAATCCGATACGATTGCTGGTCGGATTTTATGAATCACATTCATGTCCTGTTAATCTTTATTATAATTCTTCTTTCTTTAAATATCAAATGCCCTATTTATAAGTTATTATTCTCCATTTATTTTGATACACGGAAGTGTGTTTCCTCAGTAGTGAGTAAAGATGCATGTAACATAAATGCTGCATAAATCAAGTGCGGAAAATAAACATCCATAGTAAAGAAAGCTATCGTTAATGAAATGAATAAATTAAATATATAAGAAAAAAATCAATAACAATTTTATAGAGAGTAAAAATAAAAATGCATCTTGAAGTCTCTTTTTTTTCAATTAATCCACTCTTGATGTCGAACCCTACTTCATCCACTTATAATTAATGTGCTGATAATTTGTATCATATCCTTACATTAAACAGATTTTCCATATTAATTTTTACACTGGAAGTGTACGTAATAATCGCTAATAATATTACTTATCCAGGTTCAATCAAGGGTGTACGGGGATTTACCCCGGGGGTAAATCCCCGTACACCCTTGATTGAACCTGGATAACGAATTTATTTCCTTTGTATCCATAAAATGCTTTGTAACCATACAGAGTGTATCTCAATCTATCGATAAGATATTTATCATAGAGAATGTATGCATTGTGACGTCACGTTTTATTTACACCCGGCTCAAGTCGGATGCACGGATATTTACACCCGACTTTGTAACCAATCAAAGCTCGTGTTACAAGCTAGATAGGAAATAAAGGTCTTTGTACGTAACTACAGCTGCCTGTATATATCATTGGGAGATAACAAAAAACTTATAGCCAGAGATATCTTAAAGAATTGGAAATACTTGCACATGGATAAAATCATAAACAGAAGCGATCGGACTAGATCATATAAACCAATGCATCGAAGACAGCTTAAAATGTTTACAATAATGTAATTCTGAAGTACATTTATATAGTTTGCTAAATGAAAAAGCTTTTCTCCTTAGGATGAAGACACAAACGTATTATAGGCCTCGCCAAACGGATTAAAGGAGACAATTGATGTTTTACTCGCATCTGCTCGGGCCTCTCTGGCGAGCTCAAGAAAAAAAGTCGGATGATAGGATGTTAAAAATTCAAACAAAATGGAATGGTTTAGGCTATATTCAAAAGTTTGTTCTTCCAACTTTGATTTACTATAGTTAACCGTAGTTTTTTTGTTTGGTGAAGGTTGGTCCTTTCTTTTAGACTGTTACGTAGCAACGGAGATACCTTCTGTACAAGCACAAAAAAGCTATTCACTACTAGGAGGCCATAAATGTAAAATAGAGGTTTAAATTTGCAGTCCCCCGTCTCCCAGTATGTGGTTACGTCTAACTATGAATATCAAGTTATCGAAGTGTTAAATAGATTTTAAAAAATGAAAAAAAAAAAATCACACTCTTTCATAGTCCTGTACCAAAATCAGTCTCTTCGGTCCTCTTGGTGAGATTTTTCTGTACAATGTATACCCGCGTTTATAATATAATCAGCGCATAAATATTGCAAGAGGCTATAAATGTTTACATAAAAATGACCTAAAAATTTTGTCTTTAATTGTTTTTAATTGTTTCTTAAATTCATTAAATAATGCACCTTTATGCAACCCGTTTTCTGCTTTTAAATAACGTCCTTGAAACAAATTTGTATATCTGAGAAGTTTAAAAAAAGGCATAAAATTGTTGCAAGATATTTTAAATATTCTGCAGGCTAAATTATCGCATGAGTTACTTTATCAACGTTATCTCCATAATCTCTTTTACCGCATTACGACAGTGATTTAAATAAAGTATATTGTTCGGGCTGAAGGTTATATTTTTTTAAATAAAAATAGAGATTAATATCATGATTAAATAACAGGACGAGGAATATCGTTGTTGTTTTACACAAGATTATACAAGGGCCAGTTTTTATACTGTAAAAGGTGAGTGCTTGTTTTCATTGAGTAGTTTAATTTGATCTTGTCACAAAAATTTATATTCCTGTATGAGTTTGTAATTATGACTCTTATGAGTCAGCAATATTTTCAATAAATCTTATGAAAGGAAAAGTACATCCTAATGTACTCTTTTGCCCATCAAAACTTTACCCACTGGTAGACATTTTTAGGGATATTTCTAGGAATAATAATCTTTAAAAGCACTCTTAGGAATCTGTAGCAAGTGCCCCAACCACTTGTCGCATAAAAAAGGATACAATGCGATAAATTGCAAAAAGTTCGTTCAATGATTAGTGGTTGTATGTGTTTAATTTACGCTGTTATATTAATGATATAGAACTTTTGTATTTTTTTTATTTATCAGAAAAGGATGTCTTTATCAAAATACCGGTACACATCAACAACCGAAACGACTAACCTAGCAAGACTAGCACGACTAATTTTGGGGCCCTGTACAGATGCACTTCGTGACGTTCTTAAGAAAGAGATTTCTCCAGGAGATTTGTCAAAGGAATGTAAGAAGTGGTTTGATGATCCTGCAAATCACACGGCACGTAATCGTTTCAATAAACAATATATGGATCTTATATTTCCTTTGCCAGCAAAACAATATGGTGGCAATTACTCAGATTTTGACATTAGCCTCTTATACCAACTACTTCGTAACATATCTAAAATGCCACCGCACACAAAAGGATGGGGGAAAGATCCAGACCCGGGGGACAGAAGTGTGTCTGCGAACATTGAAAGAGTTCGTGTCTTAAGAAACAAATATTATGGGCACATCAATGAATTTTCCATCACTGACTCAGAATTTAGACAGGAATGGCGAAACATCCATGATATTGTTGTAGAGTTAGAGATGACATTCGGGACAACTACAGCTTACCAGGATGCAGTGAAAGAGATAAAGACATGTTCCATGGATCCAGAAAATGAAACGAAATATATCCAGAAATTAACAGTTATCGATGAATTATTTGAAAAAATTGAAAGTCTTACAGGTATGATTTCTTCACTAAAAGAATTCAAAGTATGTTTCCATTGTTCTTGTTCTGACAAAAATATATGTTGTTTTAAAATTTCTCGCTTCTTTCAAGTGTGCTCTAAAGTAACCAAAGATATAAAATCAAAGCACTGAGAGTACTGTTATATGCATGAATAGGAATAATTATTGTATTACCTGGTAGTTAATTTGCTGTTAATTTAAATGGTAAAGTATTTGATATAATTAAAATTCTTTACCTTTAGCATGTTTTATTTGAAATCTTTACCGAATTATCTCCATTAAATTTTTATTTAGGCTATAAACGATCAATTATTATTTGTTCATCCATTAGGAATTATACAATATTGTGAATGTGATAATGATCCTTATCATGAGAGTTAAAAAAGTTTAACTGTTTATTCGGTAAATTGCCATGAGTACAGAAAGAATTTGTATGACATGCATGCTCAAATATAACACAATGCAAATATAATTCAAGCATATACATTTCAGAGGAGATAACTAAACTAAAGCATCCGATCCCAGAAAACATAAAAGGTAAGACTTTACATTTTTATGTTCACAAAATATGAAATATTGTATTACAATATTTTTCTTAAATGAACAATTCTTATTTATTTTAATGCAACAAGTATTTTGATAGCCCGGTTACCCATCAACTAGCTAATTTTTCTTTCCATAATCCTTTCAACGCTAGAACACCTTATCTTATCCTCCTTTAATGAGTAAAATTTTTATGTACACAAAATATGAAATATTGTATTACAATATTTTTCTTAAATGAACAATTCTTATTTATTATGGATTCTTTATTTCCCAGAATTACATGAAAAATATTACATTTCAAAATGGAAGGAAGAGGATAAAGTGTTTCATGAAATACACAGCTTTCCTTCAATCCTTGAAAAGGTAAAAAATAAGCCGTGTGTAGTGTTTGTCGGTGGTCCTGGATCTGGAAAATCTGCAATAGCTCAACATATTGCACTTCTGCTCCTAAAAGAAGGATACGAGATTGTGCCAATTAAAGATATTGACAAAATAGAAGAATATTGTGACTTACGGAATCGACAGGTATTTCTACTTGATGACGTGGTAGGTGTTTTGGGGGTACAGGAGGCAAAAATTAATCTTTTGTCCGATTTAGAAAGTATGATATTAGAACCTAAAGTGCCAGACTCCAAAATACTCATGACGTGTCGAGAAACAGTTTTTAGAAAAGCAAGGCAAACAATTGGATTTTTCTCTGACGAAAGCAACATAGTATTGCTTCATAGTGTGGAGAATGAATTAAATCAGGAGGATAAAATATGTTTGATGGAAGCTTATAGAATTGATTCGAAATTCCTGTCCACGGATGACTTAGACACCGCTTCGAAAATGTTTCCATTACTTTGCAAACTGTTTTCTACCGAAAAATTTGAATCATATGGCTCTTCATTTTTCAAATGCCCAATTCCTTGCGTTTTGGAGGAATTTGACAATATGTATAAACAAAACAAAATCCAGTATATTTCATTGGTGTTATGCATGATGAATGAAAACAAACTGTCGGAGGAAATGTTAGAGAATGCAGGACTAGAACCATTTACTAAAAACCTTGTTGAAATAAAAGAAAATGCTTGCAAGAAGCTGAAAATTAGCAGGAAAACTGATAATTTTGAGTTTGTAGATGCATTATGTGACATGGAGGGAACTTTCACAAAATTGAATGATGGAGAGTATATTTTCATTCATGACGCCATGCTAGAAATACTTGCTTATCATTTAGGACTGCGTTTTCCAGAACTCATAATAAACTACATGAAAAGCAGTTATATTTCAAATTATGTCAAACCTCAGAAGTGCAAAATCAAACCAAATGATAGAGAAAGGAATGAAAATGAAATCAAGGACATGCGTGAGAGTCAGTTTTGTGCTGATGAGAGCGATAACAGCAGAAAACCAGTTGATCTTTGTGTGTACTTAGACGAGGAGAATTATCCATTACTAGCTGAACGTTTGTATAGAGACATCGAGGACATGCATTTGTATGATGTATTTATGAACAATACTTTAAAACACACAAAACTTTGTAAAGTGTTCATTGATGTGTTGAGTAGCAAAGGATACATGAGTATAAAAAAACCTCTTTCTGTCTGTAAAAAATAATGAACTTGAAAACATAATATTGAAAAGGAAAAACGTAGAGAAGAAAATTTTGCAGCTAAAAAATAATGAGTGGACGAAACAAAAATTGCTGCTTGGTCTGAGAGATGTATCAGATAATCTGAAATTCAACATAAGAGTAATCAGTTGGGTCATTTATTATGGCCACTCTAAGATTCTTCAATACATAATTAATCAAACAGAGCAAAGTAAAGAAACACAGTCCGAATTTTTTCAAATGTCAGAAAATTTCGGTTTACGGAAATCTTTATCTGAAACGGGTTTTTCAGTGAGTAATATTAATGCTATTGAACAGGAGGCAGAAAACTCTTATTTTCATTATAAAACATCAAATACAAATTCCAGTGAAATAAATATTCAAAGTAACTGGGACAATAGTGATTTCGTTGCTGAAAGTACCCGTTTAGTCGTTTTGGGTTGTTATAATGGTGACGTTGAGACTGTCCAAATTTTATTGAAACACGTGAATAAAAATGCATTAAATAGGACATCACGTTTTCAAGGATATATTTTTGATTATTGGCGGCAGGATACGCCTCTGACAGCTGCTTGTCAAGAAGGACATGAAAAAATCGTGAGAGAGCTGATAAAAAATGAGTCTGATGTTAACTTAATGCGTGATTCATATCATCTATTCCCAAAACCTTCACAGTTAAACGTTGATCGACTGGATTTGGTTAATCAACATCTGAATATGGCACGTATTGATGTAAATACAGTATTGACACCACTTGTAGTTGCATGTAGGGTCGGGCATATAGATGTTGTAAAGGAGCTTTTACAGGCAGGTGCCGATATTAATGCATATAGTGTAGGCGAGTCCCCATTGATAGCAGCTTGTAAATGTGGATATGTGAGCATTGTGCATCACCTACTGGAATCAGGGGCTGAAGTCAATCCAAAACATGAAGGGTATATTCCTTTTCATACACCACTTACAGCTGCCTGTTATCATGGTCATATGAATGTGGTCAAGAAATTGCTTGAAGCAGGAGCTGATGTAAATCTACATGGAATCAACTATTCATCACTTTCTGCTGCGTGTGACAATGGCCATCTTGATGTGGTAAAGGAACTGTGCAAACATGGGGCTGATATTAATCTGCAAAGTAAATTTTATTTGCACATGACATTTTCAATGAAATGCAGGCGTAATGTGCGGTTTAACAGGATATGGCGATCCAGATCGCGATGTCGCTGCTACAAATGCTATATTCAAAAACACCACCAAATTCGCAGGGATAGCTTATTAGCAGTTACAAACTTGATGAAATCGAAAGATGAGAAAAATCTGCATTTCTATTGCATTCCTCTTATCATTGCTTCGGGGGAATTACAGAAGTTATATACTATTGTAAATCCAGATACAATCTTAACACCATTAACAACAGCATGCCGAGGTGGGCACATTGATCTGGTAAAATATCTGTTAAAGAATGGAGTGGATGCTAATTCACAGGACCAAAACGGTACTCCATTGATAGTTGCCTGTAGAGAAGGTCATATGAATGTGGTGATGGAATTGATAGAGCACGGAGCCAATATAAACCTATATGTGAATAATGAAACACCACTGATAGCGGCAGTTAAAGGCAATCATAGCTGTATTATTAAGGAGCTTCTAAAAGCCGGAGCTCTCAGTTAATAGAGTATATTTACAAAAAATACGTCATTCAATTTGAGGCTTGACATAAATCTAAGGCAAAAAATTCACCATGTCAGTGGAATATGCACTGCCTTGTGATGATGGTATTAAAAGCAAGGGAAAAATCAATCATCGTGGTCTCCATAATAAACAATTAACGCGTTTGTAAAATAAGTGTTTTGATTATTCAATGCGAAATGAGAACAGAGATCATTCAAAACTTGTTCTTCATTTGATAGTTTCATATTTTGATAAATATATCCAAGTTAATAATAAGTATTTGCTTGAAAAGACAAAAGGACAGAAATTCAAATTAAAAATTTGTAAACTTGATTTTCAATGTATTTTTTATCAAAAGATGGAAAACAATTTCTTAAATACTAATTTATTTGTAGAATGTCCATCTTATGAATATTTAACATGCATCAACAACAATGAACAGCTATATAAGCTCTTATGAACAACAGCTTGAAGTGGATTTATAAAATTAAACCAGAATGCATTTTTTTCTGAGGGAAAGTATGCTGTAACTTACAGTAAAAAATTTAGCAACTTTCACATTGAAATTATCATAATTATGTTGATATCCTGTAAATCAGTTCTTCAAATATATTTACCGAAATGTGTAGAAAACATGAGTCAATATCCGTGCACATGTATTAACATATCAACTTTGTTAATTTTTGACAAATAATTACATATGATCATATAATTTGTAGAACATGTAGTATGTGTATTGAAAACATAGACCTTTCAAGATAACTGCGGTACTGCTCTTTTACTTGACAAAATGGTATGCCTTGGTGAAAGTTAACGTAAAAGCCATTTTAATTTTAATAATCGGGTATCTGCTTGTATCAACAAAAACTCCACCAAACATTCTTTATCCTGCAGGAGAGGAGTACCGCAGTTACCGAGAAGAGGCTAATTATGTATTGTGTCCATCAGAGGATAAAATTCTGCCATTCATTTGGCTAAAAGTCTACTGAATGTTCACGGAAATACAGAATTTAACTTTGTCCTTACCAGTCAGGGAGTATTCATTTGAATATTCCAAGGCTTTGTTCGTGCGTACTATATTTCATTTGAATATTAATAATAATCATAAAAAATGTCAATCTTCATCATGTTAAAGCAACGTACAAAGTCTATGAATATTCTATTGAATACTCACTAAATGATTTGGAGAGAGTTCTGCATTTGTGTGAATATTCAGTGGACATTTCAGTTAAATGAGCGAAGTATGACAATTGTCCAACTTAATATTGAATATATAAGTAAACAACTAGCAAAAACTCTCACTGTAATCGCTACTGTGTGCCACATTAACAATCAGAATTCGTCAACAACGTGAATTGCAGATCTGTCATTCATTCATCTCCGTACACTTGAAAATTACTTCAATTGACCAAATGAGTGGCATTGTGCCTTATTTAAGGTAAAATTTATACCTATATTCTTGATTATATTTCCCTAAATTGTACATTTTATATTTTTATAGATATTTTACAAGTTTATATGGATTGTTTTGTTTTCCTGGTAATATTTTTGCTTAATGTTTTCTTTTAAATAAATAATTTATTCTTTATTCTTTCGTTTTTTTTTTATTCTCATGAGGATTATTATTTGTTTTCCTGATTAGGACATAGTTATTAATTTCGAGTTTATAAAATATACCTCTAGTTCGTAATTTCTAATAAACACGTGTTTGTACATGTAAACTTAAGTCATATTCCTTTTCTGTTATGTTTCTATTTGTCTGTATATACGAATTGTGCACAGAGTTCAGGGTTACTATTTCAATGACTGACTAAGCTTGTTGACATTCACCTTTTGGTCTTGTAAAGTTCTCATAAATGTAAATTGCATATTTTAAGTTAACATTGCATTTAACAACAATTAACTGCGTATTTATTGAAAGTATGTTTAAATATCAATTGATGAGGTTTTGAATTGTAATTAAATACCCATTTCTTTAATTTATTAAAAGGAATTGTCTTATAAATATCATGAAATACACATGTGATCAATAACGCTTAAGCATCAGTCGCTCAAAAGGTACATGTACGACAAAAGTAAAATTTTGTAAAGGTGTGTCAAACTTGAGGGTGATGAAATCAAATATATTGGGTTGGTATCCAAAACAAGGTTTTGTCACAAGGTATAAACTTGTAAAATATGAAAGATTTGACTAAATTAAATTAAAAGTAATGGGCAATATTAAAGTTTTTTGCCAAAAACGGATAAAAGGAAATTAGAGGGGATAGACAGATCAAACACTTAATGTTCCTAATTCTTTAATAAGAAAATCATAACACAAGTGCAGCCAGTGCATGTCGAATTGTATTTCAATAAAATACAATCACAAAAAGTATAAGTACATGTACAACTCGATTTGAAAATACTTAAGGATAAAGAAAAATGTTTATATGGCACAGAAATGTCTGTATCACATTCTATATTTGCAATCTATAATGAAATCTTATTTTAACATCAATTTTATATCAGATCTTTATAGATACATAAAAGGAAAACATTCGTATAACAAAAAAGATGCATGTACTTCTCACGAGAAAAAATCAAATTATTCTTGAAAAAAAACAAAAACAAAAATGCACATTAAGCACACTCTAGCATGAAGTCTGCTGATTTGAGCGTATTTTTAATAAAACTTTACATTTATTTGCTATTGAAAGCCCTTATTTTTGTTTCGACATAAAATGAAGAGGAATAAGCAAAGAATGGTACAAAACACAATGTTTTTTATCTTCGGCATTCTATGAACAAACTCCATGTTTGTGTTGTTTTTCATTCAAAAGTTTTCTTTTGAAAAATTAAACTTGTATTTCATGCAAGTATTTTTGATTATTTTTCCAAGCTGGGGTGCTCCGCAGAAGAATACCTTGACTTTTCCCTTCTTTTGTTCCGAAAGTTTGGCAAAAATCTACAAGAGAAAGATAAACATTTTCACCGTTATTTAATAAAGCAGAAGCTGTTTTCAGGAAGTTTTTACTTAAAGCTGATTCCCTTAAGCTTTTACTGCACGTTAAACTAGATAATGATTTCGAAAGATTTCTTCTAAAAATTAGATCAGTTAAAGAGACGAGTTAGCAGAAAGATTATCCTCTTAAAACGTACATTGATTATTTCACAATGAGAAAAGTCTAATTTTGTTTTCAATGCAAAATATCCTTCAAAAATGAAAAAAAAGTATGCAGACCTTTCTCTAGTTAGAAGAATTACCTCGTTATCATGATAATAAGGATTTATTTGGATACTTGTAGTTTGAAACGAAAATAGAACTTAAATAAAACACAGTTTAAAAGAAATATTTATCGCAGATGCCTCTCTTTAAAAAAGTATATCAAAATATTTATAAAGTTATAATAAATTTCTTGTTCAATACAGCGAATAGGGTATAACTGGATTAAGCATAATGATGGTGAAGTCTTACCTGATTCCAGTTTGGCCTGCCTGCCTGGGTCCTGGTTTGTAGTCCTGTTATCATATCTCTGTTATCCTTCTTATGAATGAGGTCCAGGGCAATCTGCAGACCTATGCCCTTCATATCCGTTTTGCCCTGGGCAGCAGTCATATACATGTGCATTTCTATAACTTTTTCCGGTTCTTTATCCTCCTCGTAAGCTACGTCGATCTGTTCTTTCTCGATATGGTTAAGTAATCCCACAAACCATTCGAATGATTTCTGGTCACGATTTATCCATATGAAATCCACCTAAATGCATATTATGCGCTGAATAAGACCAATACAAATACTTTGCTAGTAAATTTTAAAAGCCTAGCATCATAAAATATTAATACACGTGTATATTTTATCTGCAAAAAAACTGGTAAGTTAAAAGTTAGTCACTCTTACTATATCTTGCAGTATTTTTACAATAGATTTTTACATGTTTAAATTAAACAAATTTTAAATAATTTCATAATATATCAGTCCAGATTTCAACAAATACAAATGAATTCACAGATTTTTATGTTGTGTACCTTTTTCAGTTTCATAGCATGGTCCGAAATTGGACCGTAGAAACTATGTTTACAGCAAGGACATGTTCTTTTGGATTCCTTGTATCTATACATGACACTTTGGAGGATAGAAGCCATTGGAGTGACCCCTATACCGGCCCCCACCAGGACCGCGTGCTCTGTTTCAAAGATCTCTCTAGTGGCAGTACCATAGGGCCCATCAATATGACACTAAGGAGCAATTTTACCATTTTGTTAGAAAATTTGTCCATTGAGAACGTAACAATGATACCAAATTCAAGTCTTCAAGAAATAATAATAAAATTTACATCTTCACAAATAAATAAAAGACTACTTATAGTTTTTAAATCTACGTGGTTCATCATTAATTATTTCATTATCTTTAAGGTGATTCGAACGTGAGGAAAATACGTCAACTGCGCAACGCGAAATGCCGTTATTCGATCTATGATGTTGTTAAAATGTTGTTTGTCAATTTCTTTTTTAAATTCTTATATATTGTTTAAATTTAGCCAATTTGTTAAGTTGACCACGTTTATGTATCTTAGCAACAAAACTATTTATTTATTTGGCGTTTCGTATATAGCACTGATTTACGGCGTATGTGGTTTGACAGACGACAGGAAAAGAAATGTTTACAAACAATGACACGATACCGTAAACACGGGTTTACAACAGCTAAATTAGCAAGTAAATACCAACGGGTGTCCAGTATTCAAACAGCAAGATGGGCTAAGAAGTCTGAACATCCTGATCAGTTCTAATTATATACTCAGTTCACATTACAAATACCAAACACACCTACGATTACGTTGAAACATGAACACTAACTGTTAAATGTGTGCAGGCTACGCTATACCGTATACGTACTTGGAAGATTCAAAACATACAATGCTGTATGTACGTAAAACAAGGTACACAGTTACCCTACCAGACATTAAACGTAAAATGAAAATAAAGAAGGATACTATATCCGTAATATTTTGATAAGTTTTGTGTGTTTCAATGTGGCTTTAAGAGATGTCATTAAAAAAATGAAAACTTTATTTGTTTTTGATATTACAAATATAAGTGAAACGATTATTATTTTTTCATATTTCTGATTAATATTCCTTAACTAAGGACATATTTGAAGACATAAAATTAAGCTATAATTATTACAGAATGAAAGAATTGTAGACTTTTTTAAAAAAAAGATAAATTACAGTACATTTTTTGTTTATATCTTAAAATAGAAGGGAAATTACTCCTCGTCAGATTCTCAAATTGGGGGCCTCATATGGGGTTTTCAATTGAAAAATGAAGAAATATTCATCAATGAAGCATGGACATGAAGCATCTTGATTTTTTAAATATGAAAATAAATAAATAAACTATTAAATAATTTCATTATAGAATTAGAGAACGATTTATTATCAATTCAGGGCAGAAATAATGAAATACAGTAGTGCACACAAATATAAATGCATTGATGTACAAGAAGGTTATCATTTTTAGAAAAAGACAGTTTTGCTTGTCCCTCACCAAGTAACGTCCTGATAACGTAATACATAAAACTGTGTTTAGCACCCTTTATTTACCCGCCATGTTCATAACACCGGAAATACGAGTTCGTAAATTTGGAATTTCGATCCCGACTCAAATTTGATATCGGAAAGAAAAACAAATTGTTTTCCTCATTTTTTTTCTGATAATTCAAAAACTTGAGCGGCGGGTTTGTAAACCTAAAAATAAAAAAATGCTGACCTAAATATTACATGGCATACATGTAAAATGCATTTAGTTTCAATATATAAGAGGAAATTCGAACTGAGAGATTATTTTAATGTTTCTGAAGCTTATGAATATTTCATTGAATATTTTCATATCAAATGTTTAGAATTGATAAATTATACAATGTATTTGATTATTTTATGCAAACTTTTAAGATTTATTATATTTATCTTTTCATACATATTTTTTTTTTTTTGGAAAAGGCTAAAAATTGAGCAAGACCCAATGAAAGTCAGATGATTGTATCTTTCTTCCGGACTCATGAACCTACCAATTTTTTTTTGCAAAGTTTAAAGCTTTGTGTCACTGCTATTCAAAGAAAGTTAAAAGAAAAAATTCCAATTACTCTTCGTAGGATTTTTTGCCATTTAATTAATTGAAAGTCATGCTGAAAATGGCATTTTTAAGAGCAGTCTGAGGAAATTCGGATTAACTTTTTCATTTATTATTTCAATACTGTTACTTATTCTGTAGGAAGACAACGTTATTATCTTTCATTTCCATGATATAAAAATACGATTGAAAATAAAATCTTCTTATTTTTTAATTTTGATTATGTTTACCACTTGTTTATTTTGGGATAGCAGTCAAGTTTAACACTCTCATGTTCAGAGGCCGTTGCCATGGAAACTAGCGCATTGACCCATATCAAAACTGTCATTATTCAAGACAGGAAATCCTCTAGTATCATTCTTATCATTTTTTTTAAAAATCCAATTACTTTGGCGACAGGTTCGAATCACCTTAAAAAGAATTATTTTTGCGCGGAATCTCATATGTTAGTTAATAGTATGTTACTTACAAAAAATATTGTGTATTGTCAGATAGGCTATAACATATTCGCAAATAAGATTGTAATTAGTATTTTCTTAAATCATGTTTCTTCACTTATTTATAACAACAATTCTAATATCATATAGTCATTCAGAATCATTCTAAGAAAGCCTTGACTTTTAAATAAACAGTGATTTTATTATATCATTTTAAATCAGGTGTTTCGAATAGTTAGTAAAATCTTTAAGAAATGTTCTTTAAGGAGGCTAGGTGGTTAACAACTTAAGCTTTCAACTCTTATTTGGCAAAGAAAAATTTCAAAAAGTTTAATTTCAAAATTTGATCATTTTATAATATCTTTATATGGAGCTCTTCTTCTACAGGAGATCAAAATAATCTTGAAATGGTGACGACCACCTAGCCTCTTTAAGGATTTAAGGATTTACCTTGACGTGAACTTTCTTGACTTTCTGGGCAACCCTCTTCTCATGTTCCAGTTCTTTCTGTGACAGAAAAGTTAAGGAAATAAAATAACTTAAGTTAAGGAAATAAAATAACTTTTAAATTTGATCAAAAGGAAGAGACGAACATTTATATCATTTTTAATTCTTTTATCTTTATTTCATCGTGTCATGCTATTTCTATCTAAACATTTCTTTGAATTTTTTTTTTACAATGAAACAAAAATATTCTTATGTGATAATATGGGTAAGTCTACATGTATATCAGTTTATTTTTTTCTTTTGAAAAATGAAATGGAAATATACCTGGCCTTTTGCCAAATATTGTGATCCTTTTCGTCCTGAATGTTTTCCCGAGGCTAAAAGTCATTAATATAACATCTACATTAGTAAAACTATTTAGAGAATATGTTGTATAAATGTAAAAGACATATTTTGAGTATAACTAATATTAACACGAACTACATTGTATGCTAGGATTGAATAATTTCAAGGATCTCAAAAAATACAAAAACTATTATACAGGAGGAAAATTCACGTGATTTCCAAAAGGACATCTTTTCTTCTTGTCAAACAGAATCTTAATTTGTTGTAAGATATTTTAAAAAAAACAGACATAAGTATAACAAAGCATAAGGAAGCGCTAAAACCATTGTGCTTGAACTTTGAATCTTTCTATATGGGTGCAAAACTAGAAAGACAAAGAACAGTTTATAGAGCACATCTATGATAAGTCGTTTTAGTTATGATTTTTTTTCCCTGTTCTATTCAATTGAAAGGCTATTTTATTTTCAAAACAGAATATTCTAAAAACATCTTCACAATATCAGAACTTTGACTCGGTGAAGATGTCCGTTTCTTCATGTTTTATTTCAGTGTACATGTTATGAAAAGCAAACGGGGTCCAAAATTCCAACTCTGTAATTCTTAAAATGTAAACATGTAAACCTGAATTTGTAAATTGTAAAATCTTAATTTTATAATCTGTCAATTGTTTTTCCAGTCTGTTAGTTGTAATTATCCATGCGTAATTTGACCAGTTTAAGATGTAAATTCAAGTTTTGCCAATGCTGTAATTTGTAGACTTACGAATTGTCAACTTGTGAAATGTAAATTGTACCTTCGTGATTTGTAAATTATGCAAGGTTGCATTATGGTAACATCTATTAAGACGAAAGGGGGCGCTATAAGGGTTGCAGGTTAATTCGTTGCTTAACAACGTCCAGCAATGCACCAGACCTGAGGATGATTGACGAGACTAGCCCAGGATAGACAAGAATGGAGGCAGTTTGTCGCTGCCCTACACACCACCGGGTGTAAAGGACGACGATGATGATGAATAAGTCCCACCAGGCAAAAATATAAAGAGAGGCTGAAGAAATGTTTATAAATTAATTTCACGTCTGTTTTTAAGACTATATGTGAATAATAATGTATTAACAGGGGTATACTCTAGTAAAAACTCCCAACAATTCTGAATAATATTCGATTTTAACATTAAAATTTTTAAAAAGCCTTTTCTGTAGTGTTACTAGCAGATTCGGCAGGAGGGGGTTGGGTTATAGACGCCAGGATCGACCCCCTCGGATTTTTATTCATGGATTTTATACAATAAAACGATTAAGAAATATCATTGGACCCCCCACCCCACTTTTCAGGAGTTATGAACCTCTCGTAAATAAGTAGAAGAGTCATATAAATATTATTTTGAAACAGCTTATCAACAAGAATTCTCCATTATCTCACCAACCCCCATCCCCGCACAAACACACACACACACGATTTTTTTTTTCGTTTGAATGACTTTTTAGTGGACATGAAGCTCCCCCTCATTTTTAAAATATACATATATTGACAGACTCATTCATGTCTTTGTAAAGTACACATTAGTTTGTTTATACGGAAAAATTAAATTAAAAATTATTTGAAGTGACAATTACAATTACATGTACAATTAACAAACTGTGAAAGAACAATTGACAAATTATGAAATTAAGATTTACAATTTACAAATTCAGGTTTACATGTTTACATTTTAAGAATTACAGAGTTGGAATGTTGAACCCGTTGGCTTTCCATAACATGTATGCAACACAGTAATTCTGGAATACATTTATAACATCAAATACGTGAGTGTATGTTCTCAGGCCAAAAAAAGTCCTGTTTCCTGCTACCTGACCTACCCCACTTTTTTGCACCAACCCTAAAATTCTTTTGGCTTTTTGGGGGAAAAAGGAAATTAAAGGAAACTTATGTTCCAAATGCAAAAAAAAAATTTACGTATATTCATATTGAATTTCATGAAATATATGTTTAAAATATGGACTTTCATAAAATATTACTTGAGTTGTGCATCAAAAGACATGGAATTTTACTTGAGAAAATAATATTGACCTAGGTATGATATGTTTTATTTGGTTTTGTAGTAGTTCATATAAAAAATAACCTTTGGAAAAAATAAATAATGTAAAAAAAAACAAATAATTTTCCTACCTACCTACATGTACCCTATTTTTTAAAGCTGTTATCAGGAAACAAGGTTATTAATTTTTTTTGACCTCACAACATATAATGAACTTCAATGTCTGTAATCTTAATACAATTTATTAATTTCTCAGACAGTGTATGAACATAAGTGCATGTTTGATTTTGCTAAATACTAGTAGATATAAAAAAAATTCTTTCACGCTACTCAACAAAAACTAAACTGAATTGTAACTATGCCAAGGTATTTTAATGGAAAAATTAGAGTATGAAAAAAGCAATAATACAGCAACTTAAAAATACACCTTGTGCTTTCTTACCCTCTAGATCTGTATCCACACCCCTTATTCCTTTCATATAAATGTTTATTTGTTCAATTGCAGATTATAAGAAAATCAAACTGCATTACTTATTTTAGTAAATAAAGTTCCAGTAACCGTGTCATAATGTAAAAAAGAAAAAGAAAAAGAAAACTAAATGATAGTAGAAATGAAAATACCTTTGAAATTAAGTAGTGCAGGTGATTTTGTAGAGCGCCTTTTTTGAAGGACTACCTCGGGCTTACCCAAATTAATCGGATCTAACTCTGAAAAATACTCATATAACTTGTTTGTCCAATGGCCCGCTGACCGCACATGTAACCAAATATGACCTGTAAAGAAGTATATACAAGAATAATTTTAGGATTCACTGTCTAGTTTGCTTGGTATGCCATGGCGTCCATAATAGTCGGAAACAAGATATAATTTGCATGATGTGGAAGATTTATTTCATTGTTGCACAGTTTCTTTTAACCAAAAGCAACTGATTTCTGAAAAACTTGTTACATATATGTAATAAGTGTTTCTGTAAAAAAAAAAACTTGTTCATAAGTATTTACCCCCCTCCCCAATTAAAAAATAATAAATTCGATTTCTTTGAATACAACAGCTAAAAAGTATATCTTTTTTTAAAAATCCAGGATTTCTTTAGATTAAAATTTGAAAGTGGGCGCATTAGATAGGCAGTCGGCAGGAATGATTTGACACGAAACAATTTAGATTTAAATGTCCAAGCACCATGCTATTAACCTGTCTTGTACAATGAACCTAGATACTTCATGGAAATGGATATTCATTTCTGTCTTGTGTTTCTTTATTTGTGAATATTATTTTTTTCAATTAAAAGGTGTCAAGAAAGATAAATCATCTATGCTGGATACATTTAATAAAATATAATAGAAGTCTAACACTAAATAATTTTTGTGCTCAGTTTTCAAATGCACTGAAAATATTATTGAATGTAAGAGAACGGTCGACGTTGCTATTTTCTTTTATATATATTCATTTTTTTTTTCATCACGTGAAATTCTGTAGTTACAAAGTCTTGTATGTTTACTTCTATTTGGGAACGTTAGCACTATAAATGACAAAATGTGAACGCATTAAAAATAAAACAATGTAAATTAATTTATAAAAAATTCTTTGAAACTTGATTCAAGGAGTAATTTTTTACTCCAAATCAAAATTTTCAAGCAAAAAGAAAAAAAATAAACTTTAAAAATCACTGTATTCGAACCTAAAATGCGGCTACGACGTCGCTCGAATGCAGAGACAAACCAATGTAGCTAACGGGAAACTATATATTTAGTGGGTTTTTAAATCATTATTTAAAGCCAAAGACCTGTACAATTGGACTTAGTGAATTTTCTGCCAGAAAATAAATGCGAAAAGTTTAGATTTTGGTATTTCTGGGTCGTCTCTCCATTTTTTAAACAATTGGAATAAATTTTACGGTTAAAAGTATACCGATATTGCATCTAAAATTCATGGAGAGGAGACCCAGAAACAACAAAATTAATGAAAAACGGCTATAAAAGAGTCGATTTTTGCATCATTTGATTCGAACAGCTATATTTTGATCAATATTCAAATAAAATCAAACATATTCAACAGAATATTTGCCCATTTTACATTCACGTACAACACAGTCAATGTCTAGGTTTTGAAGTTTTTTTTTAAAATCAATGATATTATTTTATTCTTTTTATGAGCCAATTTTCCTGCCGAATCGCCATCTAAAGCGCCCACTTTCTTTAGATAAACTGTATACATGTAAATAACACCGTATTCTTGTGGAACAAAAAACATAAAGTTATCTGAGTATATAAAAATATCGATAGAAACTGGATGCTTAAGATATGTAAAAACAATTTGACAATCTTTCAGGCCATGAATATTTCCTATTGTGAGTGTTTCCTGACATTCATATTAATAGCAATAAAGATGTCTAGACATCAAACAATATCCTCCTCGACTTTTAATTATAGATGACTGTTTCATTTTAAAACTTGCTGACAGATAGGTGAGATAGCTCCTGCCAATATCATGAAGACAATCTTTACCTTTCATTTCTGGGGCGCTGCTTATTGTAAATGGATGCCATTCGTTTGCTGCAATGACTGGGATCTGTATGAAGATGTAGTCCCCAGGCTGGTACTTAAAATTGTCAGGTCTTGAAATGACTAAATGGCAAACCTGAAAATTGGGGAAATATATATTTGTTTAAGAAGTATTTTATTCATAATATACAAATAAATAATGTAAAATCACATATTTTCGTGAGGTAAAATTTTCGAGGTTTGAGAAAAAATTATTGGTTTGTTGGGATTTAATTTCGTGGTTGGAAAATATTTTGTAATGATGCGTAAGAAAATTTACATTTCATGGTGGTCATAAATTCGTGGGTCTCTCCATACCTCGAAAACAGCGAGATTTAAACCCCCATAAAATTTTTGTTTTCACAGTCTACAATGAATATGGATTGAACAGCAGGCTAGGGGCCTATATTGGTTATCTCCATTTGAGATCATGTACAAATGTGAATACTGTACACATAAGAGGGAAACAGATCATTTATACTGCAGAATCATAGATTCTAAATTTTAATGATTATTTTGTCCAATTCATAATCAAAACTTATAAAGGAAAATGCAATAAGTTATTTCCAATTAATGTGTTATTTATTATTACCCCAGATGGTAGGAGATGAACCTCTGTTATATGAGTATTGCCATATCGTGCCCTTTTAATAAGCTTTGATCTGAAGATCTTCTCCAGTATAAACAAAGCACCTGGTGCAACAAAAAACATCCAAAAAATCGGTCCATGAATAATCAGGAGAATCCAGAAAGGTATGTACAGCATGTGGGTCCAATAAAATATCTGCAAAAGGAAAGAAATCTTTAAATCTGAGAAAGGTCGATAATACCATATCGGCAGGGGATGCTCACTCCTCCATGACACCTGATCAAACTTCTGATATTTTGGAGGTGTTTGTGTGCTCTGCTCTTGTTTTGTGCACTTTTTATCTTGAATACTGTTCGTTACCTCCATATGTTTCATAAGATTTTAAGATAACAAACAGTAATAAAACTAGAGACTTCCGAATGGGGAGGTCGTAAGCCTAACACCATATGCCTTATCAAATGTTGATGGATTCTTGTGTCTTATAACGTCTTCAGACATCTTTTTTTAGTAATACATGAATGGTTTACAATTAATGGCCTTGAAGTCAGGCGTCTGGAATGATTCATTATGGAGGAAAAACAATAATTCGAAGCGACTTGATATGTTTTGTTTAAAGACTGGTGAGTTATGCTTGATAAATAAATATATTACGAATTTGAAGTGTCTGAGATCAAGTTAGGTATCGCATACGAATCAAGTTCCTTTGACATTATCATAGTAGAAATAATTTTTGCCATTTTGTGAATCTTTTACTGGCAAGGGATTAATATGTTTAACCAGTGATGTTGAAATACCTGAAAATGGCCACCTCTTCTTACAAACGGAAGTGAACAAATCACCATAATAATCAGAATGACCAGGATAGGCCATCCCGTAATGTATGCTGAGGCCTCAACCCAACCAATCCCTGCTTTAGTTGTAAATAGGATATCTATGGTGGTTAAGTTCTTCTCTGGCGTCAAAAATTCAATGTAAACTACAACAGAAAATTATGTATTTGTTTACAAAGTATAACCACACGTTCCGTTCTTGAAGATAAGCAGTCCGACCTTTTTCGTAGAAGAGAATTATGTGTTGATTGAAAATGAATATCTACTCAAAATATGTTAACAAGCCTTTTATGAACAATACTAAATTTTACTTGGGCAAAAAAAAAAAAAAAAAACGTTGTATTTTTGTAAGGGTAACAACTTTCATTAAAATGTGGTCTGTAGTAAAAACTTTTCAATCGAACACCATCGAATAGAGAGGAAACTAGGGTATCTGGAAATTCGAGATATTTGGATAAAAAAAAACGAAAAAGATGAATTCGACATTATTCCAAGATATCATAGTTCGAGGTAACGAATATTAACTATATTTCATATGAAGCTTTGAAACTTACTAGCATTTCCTATATGTGCTAACGTGTGGATGATTGCGAAGAATGCAATCATGCCGCCAACCATTTTATGAAATTGGATGTTCTGATCTAAGGGGAGAAAGCCAGCCAATGGCGTGGCTCGTAAGTAGGTCAGGCATTTCCTCAACATCAGAACGAGGACGAACATGCAGTTAAAATTGAGATTCATTCCTCCGATACGGGCGACTGAAAAAAGTAAAAATACAGTTAAAAATTTGATTCATTCTTCTGATATGGGCGACTGGAAAAGTGAATGTGAATTAAAGTGTAAACTTTCTTTTTTTTTTCCAGAGCAAGTCACTTTTCTTTTAGCTACTTGTACATATATTTTAAGAAATGGCAAATTGAAGAAATGTAGTTTAATCTCAAAATTAGAGAATTATAAAGGTAATTCTTCAGATAAAAAAACTTTTAACTCAAATAGACTGATTTCTTACCTATTACAAAGCCATTTGATTCTCTGTATTTGTACACTGTGTACGCTGTCAAACCTAAGTTGATAAGGACATAGAAAAGAAGGAAGATTACTTTTCTTAGGTTGTTACGCATATACTTCAATGTAAACTTTTCTGTCCATCCTTTCTGCTTCTTCTTACTGGCTGCTGGTGGTTTCAGCCATTGGGCGGCACTACAAAAAACCCCGCAAAACTTTTTCGAAATTCTTGCTAAAAGTTATGTAAATTGACTTTGGTATTCCTTTTTTGGCTAGTTTGCGTGTAGATTTTGAAAAACAAATCAATTTTGGACTACTTTTTCATTTTAAAATGATTTTTGTATACCTAATTGTTAAATTTTCTATCACCCCCGGATGTTTCTCTAGCTCAGCCTTTAACTCCTCAAACGTTATGCTTCCGCTGTTGTCTTCATCCGCGGCATCAAATAGTACGTCTGTAAGGTCATCCAGGTCGTCTTCCCCCAGAGACAGCGAGCTCTCTTCCATACAGGATCGTAGTACAGTTTTCAATTCGTCTCGATCAATTGAACCCGATCCTTAAAAAATATAACCGATAATAAAGAAAGGAAACCCGTTTCAAATCTTGAAAATCCATCAAAATACAGTCCGTGTTTCCACTGCCATAATGTGTATTCTTTAACTGGACTTTTGGGCATGTTTGCAACTATCAATTCAATCAGGAATCAAAGATTTGTTAAGTATATAAATTAATAAAAAGAAATCTATTTCAATGTATTTCAATTTAACTTCTTAGCCCCACAAATATTTTGTAGTTGAAGTACAGATACATGAACATTTGTTGTTAATACATGTAATACACAGCATATCATTCAAAAAATGTGTGGAACTTTTCCCTTGTCCATAATTTGTATAAACATTATGTGATAATTTAACGCATTATAGTATTTCAACTGACCATCTACATCATAAACGTTAAACAGGAACTTGAGTTTCTGCGCAGGCTTGCCCTTTGTTAACATCCGGAGGCCGTCCATTAGCTCTCCACACTCAATACTTCCGCTTTTATCCGTGTCAAATAAATTAAAGAATCGCTCCGCAAAGAAGGACTACAAACAAATAAATTTCACGCAAATATTGAACAACGTACAGCCATAGTACTCCTATTGCAAAAATTCAGACTGACAAACCGGATCGAGCTTGTTCTGTCCGAATTTTCTTAACAGGAGAGCTACAGTTCTGCAGCTTTGGGCAATTATTATTGGCAGAGTTTTCGGTTATCTATAATTTATTGTGGTTGGAAAAAAGATTGCTACATGTACTTCCATGTATATGAAGCATTTTTGGCACATTTTTAAAGAGTAGAGAATAGAGCAGACTCTGACTTACCCTTTTGACCCCGAGTGCGTCCTTGAACTCCTCAAGGTTAATCTCGCCATCGTCGCCAGCAATCTTCTTAAACTGGATCTCCATCCATGACAGCCATTTCTGTTCCTCGTCCCTAGACATGAAGTAACTATATTGTATCTTCATCGTCTATCTAATCATCAGCCCTACTTCTAAAAGCAGTGAAAACCGCTGGCTGTCTTTAATATGACTGATTTTAAATCTTCATCATCTTTCTAATAATACGTCTAACCTCTAAGAGCAGTAATAATGGTTGGTTGTCTTTAATATTACTGTTTTTAATTCTTCGTCGTCTTTCTTATAAAACGTCTAACTGCTAAGAGTAGTAATAATGGTTGGTTGTCTTTAATAATACTGATTTTAAACCAGGAAATGCCAATGTCGCTTTCAAGTAAGTCAGTGCATGATTTTTGTGAAAATCTTTTTTTCATATAAAAAGGTAGAATCAGTTTGTTTCAAAACAGGTGATTATTGTTTGACATTTACAAAAGACGATGATTTTTGCATCACGGAATAAAAATGAAATTAAAGAGTGCAATGAGGGTATATTATTAGAGCCTGAAGACTTTCTTTGAAAATTGATATCAATAATCTGAAGTATAAGTCTAGGTCTCTTTCATTAAATAAAAGACAAGTCTTTATGTAATATAAAATTTTTCTTGGTTCTCTCTTCTATCAAACATGAACTGATCAAAGATTTTTTTTATAATTGTCCGTTATTCTGTGTACATAAAGAAAAAGTGAGGTAATTCTTATACATGTATAGAAAAATAAATCATATTGTACAGTGTATTGATGACACAAATATATAATGCAAGGAAAAGATCTGTGTTCTTTGAAAGTTATATTGTTGTAAACTGTCTTGGGTACTTTCGATTAATAGATAAATAATACTTCAACAGAAAATGTTTATGCCTCAAAATATCAATATAACTTTTGTTGTACAAAAAATGAAAAAAAAAAGAAAAAAAATACATGTACATGTATTAGATTTATTTTTTTCCCGTTGAGGTCTATTAAACAGTCAAATCATGTGTAAATAAGCAAAGAGAACCTTTACGTAAAAGCAATCAAACCACAATTTAATAAAAAAAAAAATAGCAACTTGATATTAAAAGCAAAACTACATCAACTAGTTTGGGCGCAAACAAATGATTGTAAATTCTCTTTTCACCAAATATGAACACAGGCATTATATTTATATGTAAAAAATAGATATCTCAAATTGTGAAAGGAAAAAAGAAAAAAGAAAAAGAATACATTACATCGTATAACAATTAATGATTGTGTCTGATTATAAAAACTACAAAAACCCCATTTTAAAATGTGTAACACTTAATCAAGCCTAAAAGCAATATGCATTCCTGTAAAGTGAATACTATTCTAAATACAACATTTCATAGCGATCTAGAAAAATTTCAAGATACATAACTCTGTTTATATTGGGAAGAAAGATGAAGGTAAACCGTCTAACATGTGCTGCATTTTTAGAAGCAAAGCATTCCAATGCTAATGATAAAACCCGGCTTAATGATAGAAATGCCATTTAAACGCTGCAACTGCACTGTATACACGTAAAGCTAAAAATAATTGCATAAATATAGTTGACCGCTAATGCTAAATCGCCGCTAAATGAAATAGATATTTCATTACGCGGTTAGGAATGTCAACAAATGCAGTAATTTATTACAATAAGCGTTGCAACGCTTAATGAAATTTCTATCATTAAGAGCCATTTTATCGCTAGCGCATGCTACAAAGCATTCAGGCTCAGTTGAAAATCCTTACCGAGATTTAAAGTATCTGTATTATTGAAAAATCAAACTCATCATTTATGAACTACACAGAAATTAAATTTATTTCATCAATGAAACATATTTCGGTCTGTTGTTTTAAACAAAATCCAGTTAACTTTCTGAAACAGGAAATTCAAGTTATTTTCAAAATGTTTTCTAAAATGATAAATTTTAATATTGTTTAAACACAATGCTTGTTTTTAAAGAAAAAATAATCTTAATATTTTAAACTTCAGCATTTTTAAAAAAAATATTTTTATATATACATGGATGTGTTTATTTATTTGACTACATTAATAAATTCTATGAGATTTCAAAAGTTCTGTCATATACAACACGATAATAATTGTATACATTATCGTGTAATATTCACTGGTTATTATTACTTCCTTTATTTCTTATGAAGACTATTATCGTTCAACAGTCCATAAACGACGCATAACAAGCCACCTGCAAAGACGTCTTGAACAATGGCTGTTCCATCATTTGTGCATACAATTACATATACGTCTGTAATACAATATTTACCAATATTTAATTTTACTTTGAATGTGGTTTTTTGCATATACAGATGTAAATATAAACAATAAAGTGTTCTTTCTTCTTTGTACGGGAATTAAAGAAACTATTGCAGAAAAATATTACATAACCAGCTTATGGGGGTTATGTGTTAGCGGGTTAATTTTTTCTGTAACAGTTGCGATATTAATTCTTGTACTATCAACAAAAGAAAACATTTTTAGGTGATACAATGAAGAGTCCTTCTGTACATGTATGAATAGATAAACAATATGAAATACACTAAAGACAACATACATGCATATAACGTATTCAGAGTATCACATTCATTTACCTGGAATAGCCTGCAAAAAGATTGTCCGCTAAATCATTTCTTGTAAAATGTATTAGTATTCTGCAGGCCATAAAAACGAAATATCATATACAATTTTTTTTTTGATTTAGTATTGAATATAAGTGCGTTTTGTACTATAGCTTCAATCAAAATACCTTGATTTAATTAATACTAGCATACATATATCTTCGTTATCATTAGAGAGAAGATGGGCGAATACGACGTGCATAATGCCTATAGCTTAATTTAAGGAATCACTGTCTAGTTAGTATAGTATGCCAGAGCATCAACGATAGTGGGAAACATGGGATAATTTGCATAAATTATCCTATGTTTCCCACTATCGTTGATGTCCTCTGCATACTATACTTACAAGACAGTGATTCCTTATATTTCCATTTCATTGTGAAATAAAATTGTAGATTTAGACTTTGAAAATGTAGATATAGATTTAAATTACACGAGGACTCCCATGCCGATTTCAATAGTCCTCACCCACTGACGTCAAACACAAAGGCAGCCGCAAGAGATTTACATGCATATTTGGCCTCCTTAGCGTCAGACACAGAGACAGATGTGCACGAGATTTGCATGCACATTAGGTCTCCTTAGCTCCTGACCTACTGACCTGCCTAATTTACATTCCGGTAATATTATCAAGAAATCAACTTCGCTAACTTTCAAAGAGTTATCACAGAGAACAAAATTAGAAATGGAAATATTCAGATACTAAAATAATTATATTCAATATGTGAATTAAGTATAAGAAAATGATCCTTTTTTCCCTCCTTATAAGTGTGTCTATCTTATTTCATTGTCAAATAATTTCAAGCTGTGTGAGATTCGTTTAATCTGTAGAGACATTATATAAAGTATGCTTAAAATTGTAGATGAAATATCATTAAAAAAATGATAGAATTGATGATTAATTTTTCACTTCATGCTGTCGCATTATAGCCTTTTTATAGGCACTTCGCCCGTCTTGCTCACCCATGTTCTTTGTTGTTTAAGTTTATATTTATCTTTATATACGTTTTTCACTTAACTTATTTTCTATAAACAATTAACTCGGTACATACAATGTCCGTATATGTATATTATTGTAATATCATCTCCATTAAGTTGAAAGATCTCATTTCACATATGTACTACTGGTTTTAGATACATGCATGTAATCTGATTCATTTAAGGTGATGGAGGGGGTTTGGGGTATAAAATACATTAAGGAGTTCAGTGACATTTTAGTAGGGTCAAAGGTCGTTCCAAGGTTCTAAGATCATTAATTATATACCCGAATACAATGCTTTTGGAAAATAAATAAATAAATTTACAGTTTCTATATCAGTATCAAAATACATTGTATATCGGTTCATACGAAGGTCTTGCAAGGAATATATTTGAAAAGTTATGTTACCATTGCTATATTGATCTAGAATTTTGTGGTTTAAGACAGTAAAATTAAACTCATTTATTTGTTTTATAAATATTCCATCCTACTTTTCCTTCCTTTTCTGCAAACCATATGTGTACATGAATACATGAGGGTTTTTTTTTCGATTTTCATAATAAAGCGATAATTTTCTTATGGTAAAATTGTGTTTATTTTGAATACAATATAAGGCATATCATTCAAAACTACTTGTCAATATCCTAATCTCTTGATTTAACAGGTTTGTCCTTTTCTAAGAGACTTCTATTTTAATAGCAATATAAAAGCATATGTCCTTGAAGTAGCCTTTGAAGTACATGTAACATACGCGAAATGATAAAATTCCATGAACTTTGGGATCAACCATCGCACGTACATGTACTCTGGGAAAGGTGGAGTGAAAAGTTATATGTACAAAAAAAAGTTCTTATAATGCGAGATTTACATGCAATATTATTATACCTCATTATAAATATTCTAAACAACGCGTTATCTGATTGGTTCTATTTTATCACGTGATCGGGCCGTAAAACTTCATATTTCCCGGCCGTCGGCACGCTTTTCATCATATTCCACCTCTTCGGAAAACCTAGTGTATTTTCCCGCAATATAGCTCTCGTTCGTTGAACGAAAACTCCCGAGAGATGTATACGTCACAATAGCCTGGTTTAAGTCACAAAACTGATGATAATGTGTTGACCAAAGGGTTTGATAGTAACTTTACGTAAAAAAATGATTGATTGAATATTGTTTAACGCCAAGTCGGCAATCTTTCAGCCATGTTTTGGCGGGGTAAAAAATGAAAGTGAAAGTGAATTTGAGAGCGGTGCCGAATTTGAAAGTTTATGTTTATTTCAAAGGTTTTGCTTGTTTCGGTATAATAAACAATTCATTGCATGAATGTCCGGGAAACATGAAGACTTATTAAGCCAAGAAATATCATATTATTATATATGATTTTTCTTGGCTGAATAAGCCTTCATATTTCCCTCATTATCATGCAATAAATGCATAATACGCTCCATTTCTTTGAAAACACCAAAAGATACGTTACTAACGTAGGTAGATTTTGTAATTCATGTATTTTTCTCCAATAGATGGGTGCAATATTTCCGCATTTATAATTTTTAATTTTTCATATATATTTATGATTGACCTTATATGTATCATGGTACACGTATGTTTCAATGATGGAATATACGAATCTCTAAGAATTCTTTTCTATATAGGTGTTATGAATTACGGGTTCTATCTAACCTGCGTTAGTGGGTTGATTAAGGGGTGGGGTGTTATTTTTTTATATATTAAACAAGGGGAAAGTAAAGAGGAAAATAACTAATTATTTTTACATTCAAGGTATATACACTTTTTACACTGGCGGATTTTTGAAGGAGCAGGGGGCCAGGCCACCCCCGTCTGTATCCAAAATATACATAAGATTTAATAAATCAACTTTTTGGTGTGGCTGTGGACCTTACCCCGACCCCAAACTGTCCCGCCCTTTTTTTCAAAATTCCTTGATACGCCACTGTTTATTAGTATTTTAACCCAAATAAACTACTGTATATGGGGTGGGAGTAAATGAGCTCGCCTTACCTTTTGTCGTGGTACAAACAGAAGAATTCATAAAAGGGAGTCCTTTACCAATGATATAAATTACATGAAATGAATATTGTGTAAGTGTAACGTAATATAATATATTTTCAATTTTGAACGTCTTTAAGAAATAAAAAAGGAATTAAATGTATACGTTTTATTTCATCATAAAGCGATTTGTGCAACAGAGATAGAAATCCATGCTTTCTCTGTATAAACTGCTTTGTACACATACACACGTATGAATGTTTTATTATTATTTATTTTTTATGATGGTTACATGTATATCAATCAGTCCATGTTGAATTTAAAATTCTATTATCATTATTATTATTATTTCAAGAGCACTATTTCTGCACTTCTTGTACCCGATAAAGATTTGGGTAATATCAACAGATTATCAAAATAAGAATTAAAGTGAGCTTCAAACTTGTTTCTGAATCCTTTTTGGTATCGATCTTCAAGTTTATACACTCATACAACACATGTTCGTAAATTTCAAATGAAATAGGGTTCAAATTAAATCCGTTAAAACTCACTTGTCATAAATTTGTCTATATGACAAATCGGTCCGTGGATGAACACTAAATATCATGCAATCTTTTATCTACAAAACATGTGCCTTGAAAGTGTTTATTTTTGATAACTTTTAATTTATCATCAATTAAAACTGATACATTAAAAAACTTTGTTTTAAAAAAGATTTTTTTTTCGAAAAGTATGCATTTTCAAAGTAATAAGAGTTGTATCAAATTTTTAACGGTCAAAATGTTCTTTTTATGGACAAATATAAAAATTGTCATCGGATAGGAGCTATTTAATCAATTGTATACAATGTACAGGAGTAATTATTGAACGTTAAAAGAGAAAAATGATTAATATGCCCACTGTGTAGAAGATTTGATAAAAAATTATTTTCTTTATTTCATTTTTTAAAAAAGTTAATTTATTGACTAGAGGTTCTTTTGAGAGAGAGAGAGAGAGAGAGAGAGAGAGAGAGAGAGAGAGAATACTTACTGCACTGCTATGCTTTTCTTGCGCTCGGCCTGTTTTTCGGTATTGTTATTACCATTCTTTTTTTCATCTTCGATTGAAATCTTAATCTCTGAAGAATCGTCATATTGCAATTGAGGTTCAGGTCTAATGTCCTCATCTGACGTCTTGTCCTTTTCCTCAACCTCGATATTAACCGTAATATCATCGGGCACTGGATCTGGATTCCTTGCTTCGTCATCGGATGAATATCCTACGTTGTCTTGTCCCACTTTAGGTTCGGTGTTCGGTTCCATTATTTTTGTATTTTTGGAATTCAGATCCCCCGTGTAACTGATCACTGATTTTAGTTCATGTTTCGTAGAATTTGTATTCGTGTCTGGGAGATAACGTTGAATACTGAGGCAGGGTTTGTTGTTAGACAACCGCTGCAGTAATAAATTACTAGTGTCTTGCACTTCCGTCCAATGAAACGTGCTACTTCCGGTTACGCGTACACTGTCATCTAAACGACTGATACGGACGATGAAGTTGGAATTAGACAAGACTTCATCTGAAAAAAAAAATGATACATGTAGTATATGTTGACAGTTCGACCGTTAGTGCGAGCATAGTTACTTATTCAGTTTTTATTTAGATCGGGCTCGTCAAACCGCACGTATAGACTCTGACGTTAAATTATGTCGAATGTAAGTTGCATTACCAAACAAAAGCATAAACTGTGCTGACTTTAATAAAGAACGTTTTATTTATTACTTATCTAAGAGCTCGCTATTAAGTCCGATTTTTTATTTCGTTATTTTTTGTTCACTTTCAGTGTTTTGGTATGTTGTTCATGCCCCATAAAGGAATTTAACACTTAAATGGAGTCGCCACCACTTGCGTATGGAGAGCAATAAATTTTATCATATACTCAACACTCAGAGTCATTAAACAGTGAGGGATAATTTTCGCGCCAGCACTTACTGCGACACGTGACTTTGGTTTATACGGTCTCATCCAAAGGACCACGGTCTCCTGGTCCCTCATTGGATTCAAACCCGCGACTCTGGAGCAGGCACTCTAACCACTGCTCCATATAGGCGACTTAGTCTTATGTTACGCGTATCCACATAAAAACAGTACAACTACATGTATGTACTTCAGTCTTTCCGACAAGCGGAAAACATCCTCAAATGTATTATCTTGGCGTCTATGACAGCCCTTTTTCATTATTTTTTCATTAAAAAAATAAAATTCGTTATTGTTTTGTAATTGTTTAGTTGGGATTTTTAACTCCAGGATCATTGTTTGCTTATTGTCTGTGAGAGGTTTTAAGACCCTGGGAAATCATTCCCTGGTCTCGACCAAGCAAAGTGAATGTTCCTTTATTCCTCAAAATAACCTTTATTCCTCAAAATAACATTCGTCGCCCGCGTTGCGCAGTGGTTAAAGCGTCTGCTCTAGAGTCGCGAAGTAAAGAGTTGACCCATACGTCACGGGTTCGAATCCCACTGTGGGACGTGGAGACCGCTCCTTCAGTTTGCTACTCTCCCTTGGATTTAGCTACTCCCTTCCTGCATGTCCATAGCTCATGCATTTCAGGTTACCGAGGTCCCGTAAATCGCAGAAAGAGTCCATTTTATGCATTGAAGTAAAGATAAAAGATAACTCCTGCTCAATGGCTCTGAGAGCCCAGTATAAATGCAGCTAGAAAGAGACAAAATTTGTAATTTAACTTCAGATATCCACCGGCAAGTATCCTGCATGGCGTCTCCATATGAGTGAAAAATTATAAATGCAGAGAAAGAGACATTATATAAACAACATACAATCAATCAATCAATCAATCAATCAATCAATCAAAATAACACTTCAGTTTGCTAACCACCCCCTCTTTGGATTTAGTTAGTCCCTTCCTACATGTCAACAGCTCACGCATTTCAGGTTATGGGGAGTGGCGATGTTACCCAACCTGTATAAATGGAACCAGAAAGAGACATAATCCATTTTCAATGTAATTTAACTTCATTGAATGTAAAGATATACCAGGGACCTTGGATTTAGCTACTCCCTTCCTGCATGTCCATAGCTCATGCATTTCAGGTTATGGAGAGTGGCAATTTGTCCTAACCTGTATAAATGCAGCTAGAAAGAGACATAATCCATTTTCAATGTAATTTAACTTCATTGAAAAGAATTTAATTCTCGCGTATACTAGTAATGGAATTCCTTACGATTATATAGGGGAATAGCAACAATTCGTGATTTTTTTTTTCTCTCTTATCAAGAGTCAAAGACTATCTCTCGAAAATAGGTGTCGCGAAAACTTAGTGATCTACAGTAATATGTACTAAAGAGAAGAGACCTTTACCCCGTTTATCCATTACTTTAATAAATAAATGTAGGAAGCGACTTCATTTTGTGGAATTTTATAAACATGTAAATTCTATGTACATGCATTTCGAACTTGTCGGTAATATTCGAGATTTTTGATTTAATAGAGTTTATGTTTATCATACATGTACATGAAATCATATGAAAAGGTTTCAAAACGCGAAATGGAAAAAAATAAAGAATATTTAACTTCATAAAGATACACTTTTTTTCTCTAGATCCCAAGCTACTTTGCAGATATTTTTCTTACCATCTTTTGATTACAATTTCCAAAATGAATTTTATCTGGAATCATGTTGCCACGAAGTATACAAATGAAATGTATAGAATAACAAAAAAACAGTGGTTAATATTATCCGTACATTTTTACATTGTATATTTTCCGATGTCAGCTATTTCCTGTGTAAACTTCACTTGTAGGAAAAGCTCTTTTAACATACATTCATGTTTAATTTCGTACGCGTTTAAAAGGCTTTTAACTATGGTAAAAAAAGGAGAAAGAAAAGCACTAGTCGGCACTACAGAAAACATACGAATATTACATAATTCATGTCGTGTTTAATTCTTTTTAGAAAAAAAAAATGAAGCAATCAAGGCGTGGGTACACAAATAATTCATTTTTTAAAGAGTGAGTTATTTATTCATTCGATACCTTTTTTCTTTAAAACATTTCTGAATGACCTTGCTTTGTCTTGTATATACACTGTACATGTAGTAATGTGCAACTTTAATGCTTTACGACTATACACATTGTGCAATTGGATTTACATTATTTGCAGTACTGGATTATTAACATTTTTAAAAAAATCTTGTCGGATGTCGCCCCATTCACAAATATTTATCAGTACATTTTTTCACAACTTATTTATTTTAGATAACTGTCGTGTAACAGATGTTATCATTTCGTAAAATATGATATTACCGCTTATATAAAGGTAAATATAATTAACATATATACTGTATGTATATATAAGAAATATGTACCCTTGTCCATTAAATGTTAATAAAATATTTTTATCATTAATGTCTCTATTCATTTGAATTTGATAAAAGTACTTTAAACTTTATAAATAAATAGAAGCACATTATGCGTTTAGAACTTAATGAAAAATAAACGCTTTGACCACTATAGGAAAACCTTTATGTACTAAGAGAAAATGAATAGGTTAATAATGTATATAAACATGTAAAAGGGGCTCTATCTATTGACGTAAGAAACTATAGATATTTTAAATCAATTGCAAAGAAAGTCAGTCAAAGCTTAGTCTACAGAATTTGAAATAGGTTTTACGGTATTTGTAATTTGCCCATACTCATTGTGTTCCAATTTTAATGTATGCATAAAATTATCTTCTTCCTTTAATAATATATCCGTATGATTATGTTTGTATAGCAGTGATGATACGTATGAATTCGGCAAATTGACTATATATTTCATTTTTATGACATATTAATAGCAGTGACTTTTCAAGTTCATGAGCACTTTAAATGTCAACTGTTTTATTGCAATATTTAACAATAGAGCATTTCAGACTCTGTAGAAAAAAGTACCTGCATTTATAGATTGAACACGTGTCAAGAAATGAGCGACTGAGGTATTTTTTAACCAATTTGAAAATGCATTTTGTCTCTTGATTTCGCTTAACTGTGGTTATTTCCCAATAAGGGCAGCAATTCTTAATTCACTTCGATTTTTATAATATTAAATTTCAGCAACAGGCGCGGATCCTGGATTTTTTTTCCAGGGGTAGCAGGGGAGGGGGCACCCCCGTCAAAAAAAGCCCTCTCTATATTCGCTTGTGAGTCAGTTTAATTTAATTCACATCTTTCAATACAGAAGCCTAACAGAACAATCAGTAACTGGGTATTAATTTTATTATATATCCTCAAAACTACAGGTGCTTGAGGACAGGAACCCCCCCCCCAATATAGACCCCCTGGTCTTTTAGACGTTTTTCACAAGAATTATATATGGATGACACATTTGTGATATAATCTATCCTATAAATTCAGAAAATTTGCTTAAACTAACATTTTATAAAAATTTCCTCCCACTCTATATGTTGATTTTAATGCATAGAATATAGGCAAGATTTTATAAAACGTTTGTTTTATGAAATTTTTCGATCTGTTGGTATAGATCTTGTCACAAATATATCAATGTAAGATAATTTATGAGGAAAAAACTCGAAAAGGCCCAGGGGTCTATATCGAAGGGGGGGGGGGGGGGGGCGGGTCCTGTCCTCAAGCACCTGTGCTCAAAACCATTAAGTTTTAAAACTGTACCTATGGTCTAAAATCAAAACAAAAATTATTAAATTTTTAAAAAAATTAAAAAATTAGAAAAAGTTAAAATGCCTTCAAAAAGGAAGTCCTGTATGGGTTTTAGATTGATATGATAAATAAGGGTTCATTCTACCTATTCCCACTTTTTGAAAATCATGTAGAAAAAGTAAGATTTTATGTGGGAATAAGTGGAATTTTATGTAAACAAATAATTAACTATGTTCTTAAATTTACGTTTTAAGTTGGTTTTTTTTTATTAAGATCTTTTTATTATTTCAAAAATCCGAAATAAATCAATAGATGCGTTATTTTCTGTCTTAAAATGTACAAAATACAGGTAAATCTAAACATGTATTGTTATTTGCAAGTTAGGTGGAATTGAGATTGGGAATATGATAAATAAGTACCGAGTACATGTACAGCATAAAAAATTAAAAATATTTTTAAAAATTTAAATTGGAATTAAACAAATTAATTTTTACAAACCTTGTATGCAGGGTCAATCCAAAACATTAAATGTTTTCACTAAGTCATAAATTCCATTTAATTCAATGAAACAAATTTCCACAAAGACATATTGTTCGAACCTTTTTCAAACGAGATAAAATCAGAATTTAAAAAGTTCGATTTAAATCATTCCAAACCCTTATGTATACGCCCCTTTTTTTAACGCGTTTTGATTTTAAGATTCTGGCATTTGGAATTCATGATTTGTTTGTTTTGATTTTTCTCTATATGGTGTCAGCAAAAAATTACAATCCTTTGTTAACTGAATGCCTTTCACTA